TGCACATGTTCGAACAGCTGATATCTTCACCACACTGTTCAAACACCGGCGTCACGCCAGCGTCGAGAAATTTGCGGGCAGAGCAAATGTTGCCTCTATATAAATTCTTACTTCATACATTTCTTACTCTATGACTCTATATATTACTCTATGATGTCGCATCCAAAATATTTCAACTGCGCGAAGACGAAAAGACATCGATGCCAGCATCGATATAATGTTTTCAAAGTCTCGATTAGGCAATCGATTTCGCAACCGAAATGATAATAATCGCTTTCCCAACAGAAATGTTAGTTGTTAGACCGATGCTTTTACTTTATTTTGATTTGACTTTGACTTTTTCGAGGTTTTTTTCCAGTAGCTGTTGGGCAACATCGACACTTAACAGAAGTGTTAACATACAGAGCTTACGCTCGCCTTGAACAGATTACGATCAAAAAAATTTAAATGTTCGCGGATTTTTCTACAACTTGACAGTTAAAATGTCATTCGACATGGGTGTATCTGTTCCAGTTTCCACTTGAAAGTGATTTTGATAACATTTTTGGATTTCCTCTCAACATAATTTAATATTCCTTCTCCAATTGGGGATTCCACTGAATTTCCCTTTGGTCCGATTTTTAGCCAGTGCTGGAAACTTGTGGTAGAATTGTTCTGAACTTGTCACAAGAGTTGTTGAGGACCTGAGTTGCCAAAGGCGATGAAAAAAATACCAACAACACACATTTCAGACAAATAGTAAATTAAACTAATCGGTAATAAGAACAAAAACACTTTTAAATTACCTTAAATTAAATACCTTTTCATGACATATTTAAAAGTATAAAATAGGGCTTCTGTGCTTGCGGAATTGAGTCCACCAGCTAATTGCATGGCGAAAAGTTTCCGTGAGTTATTTTCGGAAGTTGACAGAGAATTAATAGAGGCAATTAAGATTCTCTATAATTCCTTCGGAAGTGAAAACTGGAACAGGTATGGAAAATTCGAGTCCGTGTGAATCTTACGGAAATTAAAACTGGAACTAGGCTGTATATGTTAAACAAAAGTTAAATGTAAAAGTACTTTGTAAGCAACCATCAGAAAGGGTCATGAAATATTTATTTGCGGAAGTACCAAACACAAGCACGACTTAAGGGGTAACATGACTCTATTTTTAAAAATGTATTTTTTTTGGCCTAAACTTAAACTAAGGTTTATAAAAATAATATGCACTTGCTTCTGTGGTGGCAAATAATGCAGAAAAGGTTGAAATACACAATTTCGCAGCTCCTCGACGGCCAGATGAGCTCACTTAATAAGCCATGTTCGATTTTCTCGAAACCACTTTCTCGAAACTAGGCGTACACGCTGCTCTCATCTAAGGACGTTTTTTATTTGCCTGTCGTTTGTCAATCGTGCGAAAGTAAAACGAATGATATCTCTTTCTAGCGATTGTCCATGAAAAATACGGTTGTATACTGTTCGTGATTTGACTTTGACTTTTTCGAGGTTTTTTTCCTGCAGCTGTTGAGTAACATCGACACTTAACAGAAGTGTTAGCTACAGAGTTTACGCTCGCTTTGAACAGATTCCGATCAAAAATATCGATACGCCAAAAATTTAAATGTTCGCGGATTTTTCTACAACTTGATAGGTAAAATGTCATTAGACAGTGAATTTGATAACATTTTCGGATTTCCTTTTAACATAATTTAATATTTCTTCTCCAATTGGGGATTTGCCACAGAATTTCCCTTTGATCCGATTTTTAGCCAGTTGTGGAAACTTGTGGTAGAAGTGTTGTGAACTTGTCACAAGAAGTGTTGAGGACCGGAGTGGCCAAAGGCGATGAAAAAAGTCCCAACAACACACGTTTCGGACAAATAGTAAATAAAACTAAGCGGTAATAAGAACATAAACACTTTTAAATTTACCTTATATAATTTCCGAGAGTTCTTTTCGGAAGTTGACAGAGAATTAACAGAGGGAATTTAGAATCCCTATAATTCTTTCGGAAGTGAAAATTCGAGTCCCTGTGAATCTTTCGGGAATTAAAACTGGAACTGGGCTGTATATGTCAAACATAAGTTAAATGTTAAATTACTTTGTAAGCAACCATCAGAAAGGGTCATGAAATATTTATTTGTGGAAGAACCTAGCACAAACACGACTTAAGGGGTAACATGAATCTATTTTTAAAAATGAATTTTTGGCCTTAACTTAATTTAGGGTTATAAAAACAATATGCACTTGCTTATTTAGTGGCAAATAATGTAGAAAAGGTTAAAATACACATTTTTTCGCAGCTCGTCGACGGCCAGATGAGCTCAGTTAAAAAGCATGTTCAATTTTCCCGAAACCACTTTTTTCAAACTATCCAGGTTCCGCCCGGTCAGGTCATAAAGACAATTCAGCAGATTGGCAGTATAGCGGCAGTTAAAAATATATATTTTCTGAAAAAATTAATTTTTGTATACTTAATTACACGATTCCTTTTTTCATACTTCGGTAAAGCACTATCCACTTCTTCTAGCAGCTAAATTTGTGTTACCCCTTAAATAGCTGTTGCTTAATGTATATACAGACCAAATTGAAATTGGAACTAAATGCGATTGAGGGACATGTCTATCTGACTTCTGACATATAGTCATGACCAAAAAAAAAAAAAAAAAACGGTACATCGCTTTTACTTGAAAACAATTTACTAAGAATGTAATAAATATTGTCAGGGTTAATAGTTCTCAATTTAACTTTCTTATTGGCATAAATTTACCGGATTAACTTTTGAAACTTACACTGGCTCAAAACTTTAAATCGATGAATTTTGATTTTACGGTGCAGATGAAATCCCGACCGTGATTTCCGATCACTGATCCTGAGTCGATCTCTAGGCATGTCTGGTTGTCTATCCGTCCGTATGAACGTCGAGATCTTGGAATCTATAAAAGCTGCAGACTTTGAATTTGAAATGCTGATTCTAGGAACTCTTACGCAGAGCAAGATTACTTAAAAACGCCCACAAATCGAGAAAGTCTATCACGTCAATTAAAAACAAGCCAGTCCTTAGCTACTGGACTCTGTGTGTGCTTTGCTTCTAATTTTGGCTATGCAGTTCGACAGATGGCGCCACCTAAACTCCGATTGTTTTGTGGGGGGAATATTTAGATTGAAATTTGTAAGCAAAATGTCGGGTATCCTATTGTCGGGAAACTCGATTGAAACGTTATTTATTGTTTTCTTTTTTTTGTGTCGGTACTTTGGTAAAGAAGGTCGACCACATTTAAAATTAAATGAGCCCCAAGACTAAACGGTAATGATTCTGAAAGGATTTTATCTGCAGTTTACTAATCCGAAATAAACCACTTCCCATCACGTCCCAGTATTGAGAAAATCGTGGTTAAAATCTGAAATATTTGAATTTTTATCCTTTTTAGGGCTTAACGATTTCCGACAACTGAGCTTATGACTGTGAGCGAAATATAAAGACCCTTTCAGTGCGTTCTTGCAGAATTGAAACGGCGGCAAGGATGACGGCTCACAGTCAATGGACACCAACGCCAGGCTGCCGAATTGCTTAGTCCTTATGGCCACACTTTAACGGAAAGAGAACGGAGGAGCAGACACAACAGAACAATGAAAGGACTCGGCTACTGACGATGATCAAGACGGAGTATTGGGCCATGGGCCAAATGGAACAACAATACGGTGATCTACACCAAGACTTCTGACCTGCACTTCAAGTAATGAAAGCCAGACTTTGAAGAACTGAAATGTTTGGAAAAATTGCCGATCTGGCTCGTTTTAACTCCTACTAATAGCTTTAAAACTGAAGGGCTAGTTTGCGTAAAAACGAGTGGACAAACAGACGGATATGGCTAGATCGACTATCCCAGTGATGCTGATAGGGTCGGGAATGTGTCCTTCTGACTAAATTATTCATTTGTATGGATATACATACAAATTTCATAACTTCGTTGTTTTTAAGATATTTGCTTTGAATCTTGCTCACCTCTTTATAAGGTATTTGGTTTAGTTTTAAATTACGTTTTTTAAAAATAATAAATATTTTACAAATATTCCCTCCTGTAGGAGTTTATTCTTGCCAAGGCAGCGTTAACTGCTCTAAACTGAAAAAAGTTTCAGTTTCTGTTGCTTATTATCTTTCAAAAACATTCATGGGCTACATACGTAAAAATTTAAAGTAAAATCGGTTCAAACCATTTGTATTCATTTGCAAAAAAGTAAAAATATAAAATAAAAATGTAATAGTTTTTGAAGTATTTTATTAAGAGCGTGACTAGAATTTGATAACACCTTTTTAATGGCATACAACACTTGTCTGTAGCGTTAATAGTTTAGATGTTGTAGCTGTGAAAGTTTAGCTATTTTTAGCGATTTTGCGCTAAGCAAGCTAGTTATTTAAAGAATCCTAGAACTACCTGCCCAATACATGAAAAGTTATTATAATTCTAAAAATTGTCCTTAAAATTTTTTGAAACTAACAAACAAAAACCGAAAAAATTGTATATTGAGATATTCCCAAAAATAAAGTATTTTTTTTTTAACATTTGAACGCAGCATCGGATATAAGCAAATTGGGTGTCATTCGACGCGTATTTCAAAAAAAAATTAAACTGTGCTAAAAAAGTGGAATATTTTACCAGCCCGAGCTCAAGGGTTTCATTAAAAAAATTTGTGTCAAGTCACTTTTACTGCCCTTCCCCTAAACCTCCCTTTCGATTGGTGTGTAACTCGTTACGATTGGACCATCACAGCAGACTTTCAATTAGCGGCTTTATATAGTAGTCTCCTATGCACACGCTCTTAATGCGCATCGTCATTACATGTACTACCGTCCGTAGTGATATACTTCGTATATGTTTTCATTTAGTGGTTAACACCATTTTAATAGTGATTTGAGAATGTGAAATCTTGATAAATCGTAAGTATTAGCATAGTATTCCGCAAACCGAGCATCCAAATTGATTTCCAAAAATTCATAAAACTTGATAGAAAAGGACTTATTTTCGAACTCTAGAAAAAAACTATTTAAGTAAATATTATTTATTTTGAACAATATAATCCTAAATATTGTACGGAAAAATGGATATTTTAATGTAACTCCAATTAGGATTTATATGTCCAAAGCATTGCCTTGGCGACCTCCTTGGCCACTTCAACGCCAGAAAGCTGCTCGGTAATCTTTAATGCAAAATCAAAGGATGTACCAGGACCACGACTAGTAATGAGATTTCCATCCTGAACCACAGTCTCGTCGTCTATATAGCTTAACAGATGAAACCAAAATTGTATTAGTTTCATAATGTGGCTTCAGTGTTTTAAGTAAAAGTGAATGTTGTATTCGCTGAAAAGTATGTAGCTGGTAGAAAAAGAAACTTTTTCGGTCCGATAAAGTATATACATATATTCTTGATCAGGATAAGTAGACGAGTGCATTTACCCATGACATCCGATCTGTTTATATATCGGCTGTAGTTTTAAAGCTAGAGACATGAAACGCAATCGCTTTTTTTATATGTACGAAAAAGTACGAAAAACAAGATTCTTTTCTCGTTTATTCCGAATGAAAGATTAATTTTGAGAAAAGTATGAATAAGTATTATATGTATGTATATCTACTAACCGCAAACCTACCAATAATGATCCTTCAGTTGGAGCTTTAAATCTGGATGCGATGTAATAGATTTTCCTTTTCCTATCCCATGCTTGGCCAGCGCAGTGGGAGCAGCACAGATAGCAGCAATCAGTCCGCCTTTTGATTCCTGGCAACGCAGCAGTTCACCAACAGCAGACGAGTTCATCAACGCCTTGTTTCCGGCCAATCCTCCAGGCAAGACCACTACGTCATAACATCCCTGGGTCAAGGCCAGCTCCAGAGAAGTATCCGGCACAATGACCACCGACCTGGAGCACTTAACCGCCTCACAGTCATGTAAGCCCGCCACCGTAACGTTGATCTAGCCGAAATGGAAGCCATTAAATGGTTATGGTATTGCCGGCAGAAATTAAGTCATCGTTGAATAAGGAAATGTTTTATTTTACATAATATGCTAAACTAAAGTAAGATTTAACTGACCTTTTAGTTCCAGTTTAGAAACTTTATATTTTAAATTATAAAATGAATACATAACTTTTATTTTAATGGATGTCGGCTGAACAGTTTTGAAGCTCGACCGGCGTAATCGAATATATCTCATATCTATCTATATAGAGAATGACTCATTCTGTGTCGTTTCAACGATTTAAGCTCGAGTTTATTATATCAAATAGTCCTAATTAATTTTAGAAAAAAAAAAATCACAAATAAATTTATATTTGACTATCATATTCTTAAAATGAAGGTTAATTGTCAGATCACTGTTGAGAATCGCATTTTTATTTTCAATTGTTAACTTTATTTGAATTACGTGATTTACTGGTTGTTACACATTTACTTGCAGTGAAATATCAGTTCGTATCAGACGACAGGAAGATAAAAAGTTCCAGCGAGTGAAAAAATGGAAGACAATCTGACCTGTTTCTAATTAATCACATAAGCTTTTTGAACTCAGTGAATAGTTGCAAATAAGTTTAAAGATATTCCTTTTCATATGAAACTAGCGCCAATTGACGCACATTTTTAGCAATTCATTTGGTATTAAATAGTTAAACCTATCAAAACTTACCTTTCCTCGCCGCAGAACATCCGCGGAGATGGTAAACTCCATTTCCTCGGCTCCCGGGGCCAGAATGATCAGAGCGGTCTTGGCATCGTCGGTTGATTTGTATCTTGCTAGGAGATTAAACGGCAGATGAAGGCTCAAGCTGCCCAGCGATTTCCTCACAACTGTTAGCATTTTGGCCTTGATTTCAAAAGGCAAGTCGAATTTTTAGTTAAATATATTTTTATTGAACAAAAATGAATTGTATATGCTGTTTTCTTATTTGAAACGCAAACTGAAATAATTTTGTTTTGTAATGGTTGGTTTGGTTTTAATGCTTAAAACTCAAATTTAAAACAAAGCCGCTAAACTTGATAAAAATAAATGTAATTTGTATAAAACATATACTTTTTGTTAAATGTAATTGTGTTTTCTTTAACTTAATTGAGTTTGTTGATTTTTGTTAAATGGTATTTGTATTGAAGCGCTTAGAACTAGTTGTTAGACAGCTTTACATAATTCTATCGAAAAGATCATCAACTTTCATTAAATTGCATATGTCACAAACTCTGATTTTGGTTTTGTTTTGTCACATATATAATTTTGTGGAAAAATGTCGTTTACGTCGTATTTAAGTCACATTTAAAACTGGTTTGATTTGTATTTCTCATTAAACTTGATTTTTGTTTTGTTTTACTAATAACATTTAAAAAGATCACCAAAGTTACAGATTTCCCATATTACGTTGCTCACGTTGCTTTTTATTTATATTTTTATTTTTATCAATATGTTGATGTTTTTGTTTACTTCGCTTAGATTAGAACTAATAATATGTATTTTATTGATTAATTACCCGGCATTTTGGTTGATTTTTAAAGTAAGGGATGTATACCAGATGATCTCTTTAATCTAAACGCACGTATAAGTGGTATTATCGTATTGATTTTTCTAGTCCAATTTCAGCTAAGGGTTGTCCGATCTGATTCGTATTGGGAACAATACGTTGTGTGGCTATGGGGACCGCGCGTGTGGGCTGGGTTTTAGTGGGTAGGACTCGGGACTAATTGGAAGAGTATAGAGTACACACATATCATAAGTTAGTTATTCAAATGTAACGTTTATAATTGCTTGGAGTTAGTCCGTCACTTCTTGAAATCTCGGTAATTGTGGCATATAATTTTATTGTTAGATTTAGATTTGTATTTTTTATTTCCTTTAGGAAGAGTTGTGCAAATTGCTGTTTAGCTTCGATTTAGATCTGATTATATATCTAGGTATATATCTATATTTGTTGTATATAATTGTAGACATCTATAAACGGCACATTTATAAGTAATATGTAAAAACAATGCGACCCCAATTATTTTTCTTACTTATCTTCTTGCCTTGTTTTTTTTGTTTAATTTTTTTCATATTTTTCTCGATCTACCTTTAGTTTAAAGCTCAATTGAATTTTGACAGATAAAAATGTAAGTTCCCATGTGGATATCCCGGCATTTTGTCTTGATTTTGGGCCTTGACTCTGAGCAGAACATAGGTTGAAAATGATATTTAAGGCGTTCCCAGTTCTCCAACCTTCTCCTTAAACATTTTTTAGCTGCACGATACTGAAGAAACCATTGAAATTTTAGTGTCTGTGAGTTTCTTGGGGAAAATTGGAGTTTTCCAGTTTGCTATATATATATTTACGCGTGTATATAGGGACAACCGTAAGGCCCATTGTTTTGGATGGGAGATAACAGCTTTTTATTGGCATTTTCATTTAGTGATTAGTGGTTTTTCCGTCAATATTCCGCTTCTAATTTTGCGAGTAGTTAAAGCTTTGGACATTTCTCATGTATTGTGTTGGTAAAGTAAATTATTGTTGAATATAATATTTCGCTCATTTTACAACTACGAGATGCATTCATTGTCGGCACACATTTCAGCTTCAGCTTAAACTAATTGAATAGATAATGTAAATGTTGGTTCTGTCTAGGCGATCTCTTATCGAGCCCCGGATCGCGAACTCCTTTGCATTGATTATTTTCGTTTTTTGCTTAGAACTAAAATTGGTTGGTTTGTTTTTTGCTTCGGGTTGCTTTAAGTAAATATTAAGAAATAAATTTAAAATTGTAATCCCTTGTGTATAAACTACAAAAAACAAATGGAAAGTGAACAGTTACAATTTAAGAAGTCAACAAATACGCCCCCACTTTAATTGCACAGCCCCACAAAATGTTGTTTATTTTTAAATGCAGTACTTAAGTAAGCTATCTATCTCAGGTATAGTTTTTACCACTATGGTAAGCCTCGGTTAAAAGACTAGTTAAATATGAAAGAATATTCGCAGCTGAGATATTTAGTTTATTAGAGTACTGGATTTAAGAACCGAAATCGAAACATAAGCTTTTGTAAAAAAAATAATAAAATTAAGTTTCTTTCTTCTAAACAGTTAGAACAATGTTTTTAAAAGATACAAATATTTTATTAATATATCATTATTTGATGTCTAGTAGGTTTGAAAGATCCAATTTTGTATATTTTGCAGAAAATTAAAGAAATTTCTGAAAGTTCAATTTAACATTTTGGCGGGCTGTGGTATTCCCTCACTTTATTTTTTGTATTTTTATTTTTGGAGGATTATCAACTAATTTGTAAGTGCCGTAAATGATTTAATATAAGCATATAGATTTAAATATTATGTATTTTATAATGCTCACATTATGTACGATTGGCAAAACAGCTTGCAAACTTGGTAACTAAATCTAAATTAAAGGATCTGTGAAGGATGTACACAAGTATAAATAAGGTTCGGCCCGGGGAATCAGAGAAGATCGTCCTCACCCGCACCGCATAAATAACAACTCATCATAATGTTAACTTGAACTGTGTCCTCGATATAGTACAAATATTAAGCATACGTTTCATATTGATATTGTTTGTTTGTTTGTTTGTTTTTGCTTGTTGATTTTGACGAAACTAAAACTACTTTGTAAAATATTGAAATGTAGTTGCCACCTCTCTCCGGGGGACGGTGGATAAGAGTTACCTTGTTTATATTACCCGTACACCACTTTGCTCTAAAGTTAATTAATACGAAATTACAATGAAAAACAGGCATGTTCGCGACGTTTTTCCATTCGAAGAATCAACATGAAGAAATCAACAAATTTCGTTACGCTTTTAAAAAAATGATAAGATACAACTAAATATCGTTAGGCTAAGTGTAGGAGGTACATAAATAAAAGGACATTGAGTGATATGCCTTGGACTCGGGGAGGGGAGAAGTTCGGAGTCTGATTGTGTGTGCATACAAGAGGGTAAACTAAAGATATACATAAAATATCAGCACTGCCAACGTAACTGCTACCGCATTATTTGCACTTTTGAATTCAAGTATTCCTATCTTGTTACAGTTCCATTCCGCGTTTTTTGTTTTGTAAAAACTTGAAATGTTAGATCTAGGCTTAGGTATTTATATATTAGGCTCCACTCTATAAGTATAGCTATTGTTTTGACCAAAAGTTTGTCCCTTGTTGAAATTGCAGTTCTCGTTATTTCGCCGCGCTCTTATCGACTCTGTTAATCTGATCTGATCTGGCATTATCTGATTTTTAGTAGAGCCCAACTTACAAACTATTAAATGTTCTTGCTTGGTTTAATCTGCGCCCCAGTTATTGAAGTATTTCATTAGTACATACATGCTAAGTTGTGTTTACACTCTTTCAATGCTTGTCGCTATAATGTCGCTTGTGGTTTTTGTTTATAATTTGGTGGTGGTCTTCGTTCACAGTACAGAGAATCCGAGTGGTTGGTGTTCTTGTCGTGTTTGCTGTGTGAGTCGATCAGCAACGTATTCATTTTGTATACTAAAAACCTTTGGTTGTATGCATTCATTCATATTCATTCATCATGTCTTCTTTTCGTATCGTGTAAAAATATATTGTACAATGTAACCGTAATTGCTATTACACGAGTTGTCTCTCTCGTGTTAGTGTCGCTATTCCTTTTTTTTTTTTTTTTTTTATTTTTGTTGTTATCTGATGTTGGTTGGTGTTGCTGTCGTAGTTTTTGTTCCCTTTAGTTGATTTACTATTTGCTTTCAATTTGTTTGCTACGCTTGTTTTTGAGAATTCTCACATTTCACTTTCGGGTTCGTTTATTTTTCTTCGGTTGCGCAAACTTGTGCATAACATTCGATTGCCTATTCCTACAATTTCTCACTGTGTGCTTTCTGCGTTGTGTGTGGATGAGTGGTGTTTTTCTGTCTTTGTGGGATTTTCTTTCGCTTACTAAATAACTAATGCATGCAAGATCTTCGTATTCTCGTTGGTTAACCTCCCATCGCGCTGTCTCAACGTAAAATGTAGCTTAAATCTATATTTCTAGGGTTGGCTTTCATCCGCTTGCTGATCTGAGGGAAGGAAGTGGGGGGGAGTAGCTTATTCGAATCGAATTTCGAAACTGATTTTGTATTCCTTAGCTTTTTGGTGTTGGTATATGGGGTGATACTTTTTAGGCAAAGTACATGACCTTCTTGGTGTCGGCGTGCACAGTGATGGCTCTGGCCATGGCGCCTGGCGTGCGATCCTCGGAGCAGCCGCTCTGGTGCGAACCTTCGCCGGAGTCGTGCTCCTTTTCCACCAGATGGTATCTACAAAATATGCCCAAATGTTAATACTCTATGCGAATTGAGGAGTTGCAATTCCAAGCTCACCTGGCACGGAAGGCCACTAAATGGGCGTAGTAGGCTGGCGCCGGTATGCTGACGGAGCGGGTGCACCGCACGTAGGTGTGGCACAGCTGGTACGTGAGGCACTGCAGCTCGTCCGAGTCAAAGTGATTGTCGTCCCACAGCACGTGGTAGTGAGACGGACGACTGGTGCCCTGGATGCCCTGATGGCTGCACAGATAGAAATCGAATTCGGTGGGATGTGTGATGCCCACATCGACGGTGGTGCCTGCGGGAATGTTGCCCGACTTGCCGCTCTGCTCCTTCTTCTCGGCGCAGAACAGACGCGTGTGATGGCGCTTCTGCACCACAATGAACGTGATGCCTGGCCGGTATTCGGGCTCCAGCTTGATGCAGGCCTCCCGAATGGCGGTCAACTCGTGCTGCAGAACATGCGGGAACTGACCCTCGGAGACACCGTCGCGATAGAGAATGATGCGGTGGGGCTTATAGCCGCCTGTTGACTTGTAGAACATGATCAGAAGTTCGCGCACCATGCTGCTCAGCTCCTGGATAATTTCTTGGCGGTGCTGTTGCACCCGAACGGTAGCGGCGTAGCGAGACGGATGGGCATCCATTGAGCCCACGACGGCGGCAATCGATGGTTTTTTGTTGTCGCCAGCCGGTGGGTGTGTTACATCAGCACCCAAGAAAATGACCGGTTCGTTGAAAACCTTCGGCCTGATGGACGGCACGAGGATCGAATTGATGCCGCCCAACTTAACGTTGATCTTAAGGCAAAGATTTGACAGCGTCTGCGGCGACGTCTTGTTCACATTTTTGGCCTGCACACACTGGGTAGCCATGCCCAGGACGGTGTCTCCCACGCGCTTTACCTCTGCATAAACCGGAGTCTTGCCCGGTAGCACCACCACGACGAGCTGCAGCCCCGGAAAGGTAATTTTCAGGTAGCGGAACATCGGCTCCACCTGATCCGGCCCAGTGGCGTATTTGCAGAAGCACGGCTGGCCAATGATCGGCATGCCGGCATCGTTTGAGATCTTCTGCAGTTGCTGGGTAAAGTTACGCAGCGCGTCTTCGCGCACAGTGCGCTGGGGAGCAAAGCAGGCGATGGCCCAGATACGAATCTCCACGCCGGTGAAGAACTGCTTGCCTCGCATATCCCATACACCCTGGTTGGGCGAAGCCAAGCTCACCTTGTTCTGTGGCGGAAACAGTTGCTGGCCGGTGATCCCGGTTGACACACGTCCCCCATACTGAAGCTTTGGCGGCGGCAAAACGCGTCCTCGCACCTCCATCATCGAATTGGAAATGGTCAGGCCGAACTCCTGCACATACGAGTCGTTGTTGAAGTCGGCCCGCTTGACCAAATTGTTAATCTCACGCTCGCGATCCGGAGCTGAACGGGCGGTGGCCTTGATCATGGTCGAGGTCTGCATATCGGTCAGCTTCTTGATGCACCGCTGCCCGGCCACAATGTTGCACACTTCCAGGGGCAGATAGGTGTGTTTGTGCTCCTGTCCCACCTGAAGGCAGGGCAAATGCGGATATCGCAGCTTCATGCGGTACTTGTCCAGGAAATACTTGGCCACGGTGCACTCTACGGTCTGTCCGTTCTCCAGCTGCAGTGGGAAACTGAAATAATTCATACAAATGGTTAGCAACAGCAGAGCGGTTCGGCAATTGCAGGATTCTTACGATTGCATCTGTGCGGGACGCCGGGTGACGTTGCACACACGATACTTGCGACGCATCTGGCCGCAGTGGGTAATTTCGATCTTCAGGCCCTTTATCTCCTTGGTGAACTTGACGCGCTGGGAGTCAGTGAGCGGTTTGCGCTGCTCGTTGATGTCGCGAATGTCCAGCACCTCGCACATAAAGTCAATGACAGGTTGAGCCTTGTAAAAAGCGGTGGCCGAGACTGGAATAAATTCGAGGATTAGTTAGGGAAACATACGACTTGCAGGGCCACAACTCACCATCAATGTTGAGCATCATCTTCCACTGCGAGGGCCTAACGCTCTGATGGAAACCGAACCACACCTCGCGACCGCCACCCAAGGGATGGTAATAACCATCGGGAGAGCTGAAGAAGCTGCGTCCTACCGGCGTGTACGTCATACTGGGCAGATGACGCATGACCACGTCCAGGGCGAGAATGGCGTCGTAGGGTATCTGCCGGGTACGGCCTTCCAGAGCCTCCTCCAGATTAAATAGCGAGACCTGAGCCTGCCACTTGATCGTAACGCGAAAGATGCGATCCTTTCCCTCGCCGGGCAGAGTCACTTCCAACTCCAGACGTTCGTTGCCAATGGGCAATGGATCGCGGGTGTAGAGATTGTTGCGACCATCAAACACCGGCTTGAGCACGCCGAAGATCTTGCTGTAAGCATGCACCATGGTCTCGATAATTTCACGGTTGACCTTTCGCGGACACTTGTCTGGCTGAATGTTGATGTCGTAGTGGTGAACATAGCCACGCGGCATTGTCACCTGGAAGTGATTGGCCCGGAGCACAATCGGACGTCCTTCTCGTCCGAGATTCGGGCGGCGTGGGCACGTGAAAACGGGCATATCCGGCTGAGTGGCTGGCGTGGCAGTTGCAATCGCTGGTGTCACGCTGCCGGTGGTGGCGCCCAAGGCGGAGGCCACCTGGGCAGCGGTTGCAGCTGCACCAGCCACAGTTGCTCCACCAGCGGCCACATTCTGGGCACTTGGGCTAGTGACTGCGGTGGGATTGACCGACGAGCCGGGCGCTGGTGGTGCTGCAAAGTCAACTATTAATTAGTCTTATCTCTCAAAGCACATTTTTTAAAGGATAAAACGATTAAAATGAACGTAAAAAACTAGACAATATCTAATATAACAATAAGTTTGGGGGCTTTTTTCACTTGCTTAGTTAAATCTCAGGAATGTACGAGGTAAAAAATTTAAATGTTATTAAAAAAATATATTGACATATTTATTTAAAACTAATTCGTCCATTAAATTTTTAACACCGTAATGTCACCCGAACAAACCCAAGCCTTTGTTCCTATATATATATATAATTAAATCAATAAAAAGTTTATTATTGACTTTACTCATACAAATTTTACTTTTACATTTCATTTGTATTTTTCTTATCCGAATAAATATAAATCTGATTTCGTTAAATCGACCATTTAAAAGTGATCATGAATCAATATTAAATTATAACTCCAATGAGATAACCCAGCCGTCTGAAAAAACTGCCCTTAAATACTACAAGCTAAAATGTGCATGCAACGAGCGCTGAATACAAAATGATAGAGGTTAAAGTTCAAACAGGTGTTTTAGTTTTTTTTTTTTTTTGTAGTTATACTCAAGTGCAATTTGCATAGTACGAAGAAAAAAAAACATTTACACGAAACAAAAAATTGAAACATATTCAGTGTTTTCTTAGTTTTTAGTGTGATTTTTTTTTTGGTTAGTATCATTACGGCAAAAAGTTATTTTAGGGATAGGATAGTTAGTGGAGGAAATGTGTTAGGAACACCAAACTAAAGAACGTAAACACAAACGGTTTTGTTTAGCTTTTTCGAATCAATCAAATCGCATAAGGTTCTTAGTAATTTTAGTAGTCTTTTTGGTTTTGGAGAGAAATTTACATGTGAGCGTGTCGAAGCTAGTCTGCGCCTGAGAGGGACTCTGAGGCCGAGTGGGCGAGGGGGTCCACTGTGACTCTATAAAAAGAAAATGTAATCAAATAAACACAAGGTAAATAAATGAAAATGGAAATGAAGAGGTTCAAATCAAAACGGGTAATGGCCAATCGATGATTTTTGTCGATAATGGAAAATCAAAATCATGAGGTCAAATCAAAAGTAAAACGATGTAGAAACCAAAAACAGGTTGCGATAACGAACGAAAAGAAAACGAAAAGAAGTGCGTTAATAATATTTTAGTTACAGTTTTCTTTCATCATCGTCATCATTTAATATACGTATGTATGTATGTCTTGCGTGATATTATTTGTATGTATGTATATAGAGTATCCTGCTGCCACAAGTCTTTTTTCCTTGTTCAGATACTTAGTGTTTAATTGGTTGGGTAGGTGTTTTCATATCCAAGTCCCGGATTAGCCAGCATTGTGTTAATAGTTCCCAGGTAATGCACCTTACAGGTTCCCAGGTAGAGTCAGTTTTGATGTTCCACCCGTTAAATACTGTTTAAACATTCGAAAACGCCTTTCTTGCCACTTTGAACTAAAGTTTTCAAGATTATAACGATTGTTTTATTTTGCTTATTGTCAACATTAAAAAGGATGATGTAAACAATTTAAGAGTATGTTTTTTCTTGTCTGTAAATGACATTGAATATCGAAAGGAATATTATTAAATTTGTATTGCTATTTGATATTGTATTTCCCCATTCATAGCATAAATATTTACATGAAATACGCACAATCGTCGGCAAATGACGACGTAGTTTTAAGAGTCTGCTCTTAAAACCCAGATACTCCCCGAATCAAACAGTCTTAGGCCCCAAAAGCAACCCCCGGAAAAGCAGGAAACTATTGCGACGCGACGGTCGTTGACCCAATTTTTGCGCATTTTCAACTCTGCACTTCACGCACGTGTCTGTGTGTGGAAATTGCACACCTCGATAAAGACTAGCACTTGCAATATAAATATATATACATATATAGGTGCAAGTAGAACATCGAAAACTTGATTAGTGGATGGCGAGCAAGGGGAAGGAGGTGTGATGGCTTGGGGACTTGTGGCAGCAGCAGTTTTTATTATTCAGTCTGAAAATTGTCTATTCTTTTAGCTTCTTCTTTTTCATTCGCTAGTCACTTACGTTGTCCGACTGGATACATGTTTTTGCACTAAGTTAGGTTTGTTTTAAGAAAAATATTTAATGTATAAAAGGTTGGCTCGTGTTTTTCGCTTTTGATGTTTCGTGTTTTGGTGTAAAATGTAATTGATTGTTGTTTTCTTTGTTGTGGTTGTTGTTGTTGCTTTTGCTTTTGGTTTTTCTACTAATTATTTATAGTTTTTGTATTTTGTTTTTGATTTCAGCCTTTTGCTTATCACACTTTAAAGTAGTTTAAAGTTTTATTCGTTTGGTAGATTTTGCATTTGTTGTTTGTTGTTGCGCGTGGGCGTGGCGAAGGCGTATTTATATAAATTGGAATTAGCAACAGACAAGTGGGTATTATCTCGTCTCTCTTTCTCTCTCTTTCTTGATTTGCATTATTTTGTTATTATTGTTGTTTCTGTTGTTATTTAGTATTGGAAAAGAACACAAATGTAGGCACAGCTTTCGTTTAATTATATGTATGTATTTTTGTGTACACACCTAGGGGTGTATATATGTTTATTTATATACTTATTATATATGTATCTAATGCTCTTGTAATACAACTAAGAAAAAATTCTTCTTTATGCTCGCATATCTCGTGAGTGCAATTGTATGCGTGTGTGTGTGTGCTCCTCGGCCTGTGTGTGAATGTGTGCTGCTTCGCTATACAGCAAGAAAATGCGTTTGTATGCGTTTTTTTTATATATGGCAGCCCAAAAAAATGTGTGCACGTAGAATTCTTGACTTTTCGAGACGTGGTTTTTGTGCACCAAACACGATCGCGCCGCCTGCTCTTACGCACAAACCGTGGCCAGACTATTGAATTTTGATTTAGCACAACTTTTGTTAGCTTTTCACGTCGCGCATTATGCAAAAAATGCAATTTTCTTCAGCTTTTCCCACAGCCACACACTGGACGTCCACACAAAAATTGTACTCGCGACGTGTGAGCGTGACGCACGCTGTACACTCTTAACCACACTTAAATGAGGGCAAAGCACTCTCGGCTGAGACCGTGCGTGTGAGCGGGATGTCTATATGTCGGCTGACTATGCACAGCAAGGCAGGGTTGCTCACACTGAGCATTCCAGTGTTGGAAAGCGAGCGCGAACTATCGGGCCTGTTGTTATCGCCTCTCAGCTGTTACGTAGCGTGTTTGTTACGTCGTGGTTTTTGTTAAAAGTTGGTGCTTTTTGCGGGTAAAACGAATAAATAATGTCTGTGCCTTTCAGCGGCGCCCTACGCCGCTCGGGCGGCATTGTTTCAGCCATTGGCAAGCAGCTGAAGAGCGTGAATTTGAAGGGCGTTAAGCGAATCACCGTGCAGTTTGATCCGTTTGCGGAAAACGTCAAGTCCACACGGTAAGTCGGAAAAGTGCTTTCCTCCTATCGATAGCGAGACCTGCGCATTGTCCACTTATTGGGAAAATTTTCTCGGAACCAAAGTGCGTAAGCCAAACGGAAAGAAAAACGCAAGAAAAACTCAGGAAAACAAAGAGGTGCTGTAAAGTGTCCACACTTAAACCGATCCTTTGAGGTTGTTTTCGCGTTCGCGTGGATGCAAGATGGGCGGGGACCACACTCACCGTAGACCTTTCCGATGATGCCCACGGCGGAGGTCATCTGGAGATCCGGGAACGTCAGGGGCAACGTGTGCGGGTGGAGCTGAGCTGGCCCACCGGGAGCCAGCTCACGCTCCGTGGACATTTTAGTCGGTGTCGGCGTCAGTTTGAGGCGGCGTCGCTGCTCCTGAAAAACAGGGAAAATGGGAAAAATCAATAACCAACATTAATCAGTACTTTATCTCCCCGCAGAGAATTCCTTTTCCTGCTCTCCACACCCAAAGTGGCACTCACGAATCCCAAGTGCGTAGTTAAATCGGAAATTGTATGCAATCGCCAGCCGGCCAACATCAAGTTTGCTTTGATTGACTCAGCCCAAGGTATGTTTCTGCCAGCCGAAACTCAGGCAAAGGAATATTTATAAACCAACCATGTACATAGGTTACGAGTCCCAAAATGAATGCAAATTTTCGTGGAAACCTCTTTGTTATTATTTTGAATGAAGTAAATAGAAAGTTTAGTCGTTTTCCAAAAAAAGTATTTTAAAATGCGTGTTTATCTTGCGAGATTTTCTAGAGATTCAATTTTTTATCTACTAATATTTTTTAAAAATATAATGAGCCATAAAGGCTGGTCTGTCTTGAAACAAGACCTTAGAGTTTCGGCTAAACAATTTTTAAGCGTCACTTCCTTACAAAAATACATACATTGCTAATTATAAAACTCTCCCGCAAAACAAGCTAAAGTCAAGGAGATACGATTCAACAGTGATAACATCAACACTCTAGAGCTCCTGCAGCTGTGCAACAGACACGTGTCCAGCTTGGCACCACCCGAGGAGATCACCAACAAGGTCCTGACCAAGGCGGAAAAACAGAAGCTCGGAGGAGGCGCCGGTGGTGGAAAGAAGACTTCCAAAAAGAAGTAAAAGAGGGCATACAACAACCACCGCCATGGTGAGGAAACACAAGGGAACACTGGCGGTGATAGAGAAGATCTATCAGGACATACCCGCCTTCTCCGACATCTTCACAGAGGAAAGCTTTTACATGTTTGCCTTTTGCTTCGTATGCGCCACTATCCTGGTGGCCTTTATCCTCTCCCGTTTCATCACCATAAAACCCGTGGATTTCTGAAACAAATGTCTTGTCTTTATCCGCACACGTACTTTCAAAATATAATCTTTAACATGTATCACTCCGCACTGTCTTGTGTTTTTTACTAGACTGTGCGAAAGGGCAGCGTTCGATTGAGTTTGAAACCAGTTTTTTGGCTTCGGCAAACCGGGAAATCATCTTCTCCTTCTGCTGCCGCCGGGGAAATTTTGCAATTGCTACGCCTGCTGATGACAGCGTTGTCCGGTTAGAGCTTATAATCACAATGGGGCGGGAGGACCCGATGATTATTGCACTGGAGGAAGTCAATCAAATGGGTCATGCAAAGTGTATGTGTCTAAAGTCGACCCAACGAATGGCGATCGAAGCATGGCATCTGCTTGGATGATATACAATCGACCCTTATAAGATGATTTTATCTGCAATTGTTTTGGCGCGGAAAAAAGATGCGGCGCCATCTGGCACTAAAGTATATGAATCTGCTAGCGTTGACAACATTGACCAAGAAATTACTGATTCATAAGCGTAAGAGTTCATGGTCAACTCTTAGAAAAAAATCTTGAGCCACGTATGCAAAAATAGAATCTGCAGCGCTAGGTCGAATTGATCTGGATCTTGGAAGTAAAAATTTTTAGATAAGATTTGATTATTATTATTGCCAGTCGATTAGATTAATGTTGTGTTAAACAATTTGTCAGGTCATGCACACCCTGAAGATGCCGAATAAATTTGGTTATTTATCTACTCTTAAATACGGCTTTGCCATAAGTAGAGCTTTCTGTTTTGCCCCGATCGTTCGATACGAAAGAATTATTCTCTCTTTCATTGCACTTAATTTAGTAAGATTTATGTGTTTTGTAAATGCATTTTTTCGAACCTCCCTGCGTGGCCATATAAAAATAAAGTCTGTATAATGTCTGTAAGATCTGCCAATGACGGTAAAATTTTGTAAATGGACAAATATTTTGGTTAATTCTATATTTAAACCTATGACTACTAAAGTTTTCTGCTGTCGATGGCCAGTCATTAGTAACTTCCTGTAGGGCATACAAAACTGCAACAGGCAGAGATGAAAGCTTTTTCGATGTCAAGACAGCTGTTGAGATGAAGTTTTATCTCTTTATTTTTGTTTTTAAGAGGATAAGGGAAGAAAGTGCACAATACACTACAAGCTTTGAGAAAAGTTTTAAAATGGCGCGCTACCACTGTTTGTATGTATGTATCTGAGGGAATCGATAAAATGACTGCAACTGCCAGCAAACTGTTGAAGTGTGGCAGCTGCAAAATTGTTGGTGAAAGTTGCCCCAAAAAGCTGCGCCACCCTGTGGTCAATCGAATTCATGGAGAGTAGCCAAGTTCAATGTCAGGCTAGACGCTTTCTCCGGCTGTTGGACCGCCATGTTGAAGGTGTGAAAATTTACGCCACCCACTTGCTAATTCGAAGCATAATAATATCCTTGGACAGGGTATACCAATATCGAATAGACGTTTGAAAATACCATTATCATCATAAAATTGTGTGGAATCTTCCAAAAATTATTGCATACTCTCTAACTCAAAAAAATATTGTTTTAATGCATATTTTAAATTAAATATTATAAAATTTTGAATTTTGTAAGTAATAAATAAAACTGTTGGTACATATCTGATGTTTTAAATCAAAGTATTTTTTAGAATTGACTATTTGGATTTGAATCAAGCAGACTAGTGTCTATAAAACAATGTACTCTCCCTTTCTGGTAATAATTTGAGTTTCAAATTCTGTAACACATAATAGCGCGTATTAATTAGAATTATTGCGGGAGATAGGAACACGAAAGGAATGAATTTCAACCCGGTTATATCCAAAAGCTGAACCAGAAACGGAAAAGGGAACTTTGGATATACACGAATGAATGTGCTAGAGCATATAAACTTCGGTTTGTCGAAATTAACTTCCGTTTTCGATTACTGACGTAATTGGCGCAGGACAAGGCGGTAGAGAAGGACGAATGTCCTATTGGAAGCTAAGGATGTGACCTTTCTACCAAAATATAAACACTGTCTGTATGGCCATCCCGCTTGCACCCACATGATTACTGGCGCTCTTAAAATTACCCACAGCATATGCTCAGGCGCCATTTGTGTTTTGGTTTTTTTCCTTTTTTTGGGGGACACCTCCATTTTAGCTGGAGCTACTGCAGCTGTTCTGGAAGCCTCGATTTGCCGGCAAACTCAAAGAGCCTTACTGCTTTGAGTGTTTACTCACCTTATCGTAAAATGCAGCTGACTGTGGCTGCGTTCCTTATCAGCTTTATCAGCGCCAAATCGAGCGTTTTTTATTACGAATTCCGTTTATTTGAGGGAAACTCATTAAGGAGTTGAGTGGGGTTCGCGTCTTGACTGTATTAAAACCGTAACTGGCGTTACTTTCCAGCACTAATTGGATGAAAGGAGAACGATAAGTGCAGGAAATGGTTGAAACGCAGTTTCTTATGTGGCTGCTGCTGTTGTTGTTGGTGTTGCCAGATCGTTGCGCCGAAGATATTGCGAATCCGCAAAGCTTTTTGTTTACTTTATTATTTGACACCATACACTTTTTTAAACTCTTACTTTATTTAATTTTATTTTTGCAAGCTTCCAGGCCTGCGCTTGTGCCAGTGTGTATGTGTGCAAGCGAGTGAGTCAAAACCAAAGGCTGCCAATGTATGTGTGACTATTTCTCCCCTCTACCACCAGCACGCACACACACTCACGTCCGCCAAAAGCACCAAACACACACATGCAAAGCAGAGATTGCTGCAAAATGAAAGCACCAACAACAACAGATACAAAAACATGCAGCTCGCGACGTAAAATTTTGCGAAAAAAAATTTGGCAATTACTGCAGATCTGGATATATCTGTATTTAATATTCGGCAGGGGAGATCGCTTGAGATCGTTATGTATAAGAATCGGAAGCCAACTACAAAAACTTGCAAACGCGCGAAATTTGCACAAACACAACTTATAGGTTGGCCGTTTTGGAATTGAATAAAATAAATATTGTTGCGTGTGGCTGTGTGTGTATCTGTGTGAGACGGCTCGCAGAGAGAGAGAGAGAGAGAGAAGCGCGCCATTCGTGCCAGGCAGGGACAACCATATGCACCGAGTGAGCGAGCAAGGCAGCGAGCTTTTGTTAGGGGGACACCAACAAAATGACCTTGTCTGGATTACTATTCCCGTTACTTCCATAAATCCCCCGCTTTTAAATCCAAACTTTAAAGTTTCAACTATTATTTCCTTTAGTCGGGCCGTTCACTACTACATTATTTGAGATAACTTAAAAAATCAACAAGAGTTATTATCAGAAACTATACATAAATAAATTAATTGAATTAAAACTATATTATATTTATGTATGTACATATATTGATACCGTTTTTTTTTTAATTACAATATAATCTAAAATATCCGTAACATCCATAACAATGGTTGAATTAACGTACATATGTACCTTTTAAAAGATTTGAGTGGTGGTACAGGAACATCTGTAGATGCATTATGCTGTTTATTTCGCTCAATTACTTTGGCAATTTCAACAAAACCTAAACGGCTTTTAAAGCCACTGAAATCAAATAGTTTGTTGAAATATTTAAAATTTTTGCGATCCGCCTAGAATTGTAACAAACAACAAAATAGTTATAACTAATTTACGCAAATATATCTAAAGTACTAATTCGAATTTATCATTTCCGTTACAAACTATAGATGCCTACGTACACAACAAGAATTATAATTATTAAAATGCTTATAGGTGCATCAATGACCTAAGGTACTTTGATGTTTTCTTCTCTAGTTTACGAAGTATAAAAAATACTTACTTTACTTAATTAGACGGTGATAAAAAAAATTACAAGGAATTAGCTAGATTGTAAAAACAGACTTGCGTCGGGTACTGCTATCATCGGATTAAAATGAAAAGGTATACAATTTACACAAATACGGCTTAACTAAGAAAAACAATTTTTTTTAAAGAAAGTGATATTGAAAAATTTGAGGTTAAAAGCCTTGAATCTAGTAACTTTTTATCCGATGCTATAAAAAAATATGTCGGCGACAACATTAGTTATTATTATTATTTATTTTTAAGTAAAAATGAAAATTTTTAAATTAAATTAATTAAAAAAACTTGCTAAGCAAACGTTTTTGTCAAAATAAAACTTAGACAAGAAGGATAGCTGATGTCGAGAGTCCCGACTATAAGAAACACGTTGCTCAGATAACTAGTGTCAAAATAAATATGCTTTCTGAAATTAATTGGGTTTAAGGTGGCACTATCTGCCCAAAAATGTACTTTAATGCTCACAACTTCTAAAATAATAGTCGTGTTTGGTGCCGATAGATATTTAAACCGTTTAAACATATACAGATTTTATAACTGTCCAAAAACTTTCGTGATTTGTGGATATATATATGTATATCTAGGGTTGGAAACGCTTTCTGTTACCTGTTATATACTTTTCAACAAATACAATTTTCCATTTTCTTACGAGTAAGGGGATAAAAATTGGACTTTAATTTTCTGATACCAATTATAATGTATTTCACAACAGACAAATTTATTTGTAGCTCCTTTGGATATATATTCAGAATCGAAAAATAAACTTATAAACTGGAAAATATATGCTTTCGAACGCATTCTAATTATTGTTGTGGCACGATTGCAAGCTATTTCTGCTTTTCCTCCTGCTTCTCAGCAGCGGGATCGGTGTTCTCATCGCGGGCCACTGAAGTGGGGGTTTCGGCATCACCCTTCTTCTCGCTGGCCGACGGTTCGCTGCCCATGGTGGCTCCGGCAGGCAGGCTCTTTTCCAAAGCGCGAACAAAGTCCTCCAGGTTGCCAGAGTAGGCTGCAGCCACCGCTTCGTTGGATAGCTCGAATTGCTTGATCACCGGTCCCAGTTGGGCCGACTGCAGGTTATTGGAGAACTGTGCCAGGGCCTGCTGGAACTGCGGGGAGGTGATGTGGTCTTTGATCTGCTGCTTGCGATCCTCGTCCGCATCCTCCGACTCCGGCAGGTGCACGATCAGCGACTTGACGAGCTCCGGATCAGCGATGATCTGATTGATGGCCTCGGAGCCGGACAGCGATGCCGAAAGGTCAATGTTCAGGGATCGTCCTGCGCCATGTTCGGGGGAGAGATTGGATAAGTAGGCTTGGAATGGATTGGCATAGGCTCTGGTCGATTCTGACGCCGTTGTGGTCGATGTGGTTGAGTTCTTACCGGAGGCATCCGCATCAACGGAGGAGCCGGCGCTGCCGGCAGCCTCGCCGGCCTGCGAGTTCACATTGCTGCTGCTGCGGCTGCTTCCCGTTTTGGAAGGAGCAGTCGGGGTGCGAGGGACACTGACGTTTTCGGGCGTCTGCAAAGCCGACCCACCGCTACCACCCGACACGGTGTTGCGCGACGAGGGCGTACGGGAACTGCAAAATAAGAAATCGGGCTTTAGTAGGAACCAGAATGAATATAATTGCACCTTAAAATACTCAATAAAAGCTAGAAAATATTTATTCCAATGTCCTCGCAGTTCTGTTAATTCTTTATCAGAAAGAAACCGCATCTTATTCTTAATCCTTTGCATGATCGAGGAGGTCAAAAAATAACGTAAGCTGCTCAAAATAAAGAGTAACTTAATACAAAAGAAACAAAAAATCCTTACATTGAGTACCTCTCAATGTTATCCAGTTGATATAATCATTTTATCTTCAAAATGAAAAGGGATAACTATAAAAGAAAATCTATCAAAATTCAAAATTTTGATAAAACCAGCTTTTAAACTGAGCTCGCAAAAGGTATTGAAACAGACAGCCAGTCAGAGGAACGGACAGCCGGACATGGCTATATCGACTCCCCTATTGATACTCATCAAGAATATATTTACATTATGGGGTCGGAAACGTCTCCTTCACTGCGTTACAAACCTTAAAAACCGTCTGCAAGGGTATAAAATAGGTATCTCTAAACTTCTTCTATGCGTTGATATAAATAGCAGTCTTCGTAAATCAGTACAAATGTTTCGAACATGAACATTTTACACACACAGTATACTATTCCATCTGTGCTAAACATGTCTAATACGAAATGTGGAATATTTTGTTTTCAAATAAAAATAAACGTAAAGCCCTTCAAAGTATAAATCATCGTGCACTTTACTTGTTAGGAAAAAATGTGTACAAAATATATATTTTCATTATATAAACATGAAAACAAAGTTTTTTTGGACTGTGAAAAAATCCGTCATTAATGTTATCAACAAATTTTAAAAGAACAGGTCGTTGAGCTAGGTACCCAATTTTTTCCAACTCAGAGTATTCCGAGTGTTTTCTGTTTTTAAGAAATAACGAAGTTGTTAGAACATTTTTTGCCATCCAAGCTTAACATCGAGTCTCTGGCTGTGGCGGAAGAGGAAAGTGGCATTGTGTCATGCTTGCTATGCAAAAAGCGACTTGTAAAAGTCAATAAAAATAATTCACAAATCCATCGCATATGAGATTAATGGATCCAAAGCTAGGCGATCCTTTAAAAAGCCCACTGTTGCACCTAACAAGTCCGAAAATGATTTTAAGCAAACCATAGCCATGATAGAAAATAAGGAAAATATAAAGAAGCCCAGGTAGCGATGTCTGTTCCAACAACTCAAGTGTCAATTAGTGCGTTGCCGTATGTTTACACTAAACTTAAAACAAGCCTATTAATTGTTAAACTTAACAAAGTAAAAATGCAATTAATAAGCAATAAATACTACATAAAAAAAGGACTAAAAATTTAATCACACTGTTTGTTTTAGATTTCATAAGTTGGGGAAACGTTGAACAATTAGGACATGGAGGGCTAGCTTCAAAAAGAAATGATATTTTCTTAAATTATGTCAATCTTTTTCATAAAAACTTAAAATTTAAGTGTAGATCGCGAATTCTTAACGCTTATTGAGAATTACTTATTGAACTTGGCCGTTTTTTCTTTCATTTCAAATAACATTCATGTACAGAACTATATGTTATATGTACTGGAATGTAGTGAAATGTATACTTTTTGTGTATGCCTTTTGTAAATAATGCACGAAATCGAAAATAATAAAGTACTTGAGATTTTGTGTGTTTCGTAAAGTAAACGATGTTTTATACTTAGAATTATTTGAAAATAAAATACTCCACATTTCGTATTAGAGATGTTTAGCACGGGTGGAATAGTATGCTGTGTGTATCGAAAATTTCGAGTATGAAACTTATGTTTGGCACTTTGTGTGTTTTTTTACGAACCCTGATAAATAGTGTAATATTATTGCCGTCCGGCAAACGTCAGGACATGATTACTTACTTCATTTGGCCCAGCAGCGAGCTGAGACCGCCCATCTGGCCGACGCCGCCGAAGAGCTGCATCAGCTGCTGCTGCGACATGTTGTTGAGCATGTACTGCAGGTCGCCGTCGTTGCTGCCTCCGCCGCCGCGCTGGTGGGCGGAAGGTGGGTTGTTCAGCAGCTCGTTGATGCGGCGGCAGTGCTCGTCGTCCTTGTCCGTCTTGGGCTCCTGCATCCAGAAGAACATCCGGCGGGTCGAGGACTTAAACTTAAGCACATAGACGCGGCCCGTCTTGCACTGATCCACACGCTTGTACTCGAAGTCGTCGGGAAAGACGATGAGGTCGTCCTCCACCTTTCCGGAGGTGCGATCCTTCCAGCAGAAGTGCATCAGGCCATCGTCGCTTTGGGTCATATAGACCAGGCCCTTCCGTGAATCCGGGTGAACCATTTTGCCAACCATGTTCATGCGACCTGCGCGGAACTCCACCAGGTTGCTGCTGTTGCTGGAACTGCCCAGTCCACTTTGTCGGCCGAACATGATGCGGGAGCTTCTTGAGAGCTGGCGGAGATTGGATGATGGGTATGTCGAAATTATGCCATTTTTTCAGTTTATAACTTATTTAATTTGCAAGCGGTAGGCATGTTCGGCAACACTTACGGGATATATTATGTGTTGAAATTGTAGTTTTATAAATATTCAACAAACTGCCTACTGCGAATGACGAGCAATTTTTGTCTTCTTCTTTTGCAATCAGTGTGACCCCTCAAATACCTTTTCTCAAAGATAAGTCTCCATTTGTGTTTTGCAGCACTGGTCGACTTAGAGTCGGCAAGTACCATTTAAATATTATAGCATATCCACACTAAAACAGTCTTTACACATTCGCTTTAAAGGGGTGTTGCGACCAATTTACACAGGCCCCTGTAGAAAGAACGTAAAAATGTAGTTCTTCCACAGCTCTTGACAAATTGGTAATAAAGAAGAGTTCTAATCAGGTAAAAAAAGAAGTAAAATTTACAAAAATACTTGCGGAATTTTATGTGCTCTCTACACTGGCTAGAGTTTCGTATTGATTTGCTGTGTCCACATTGGGGCTGTGAACAGCTGTTCTTTAGTTTGAAAAAAACGAACACATTTTAAATTATCTGGACTCAGCCGATCGAAAGAATTTTAGAGACCCATTTTACAGGCGCTGTCGCAAATGCAGCTGATCGGTCTATGAGAAGTAAACAGACCTTAAAAGAAGAGAAAAAGAACATAACATTGAATTTTCCCGCCAAGGATTATCAACGCAAAACTTTATATAATTTTGAAATAAGCAAATGGAAATTTTTTCCCCTACTTATGATTTATCCACTGCTGTTTGCCGATGATGGATGATATGGTGGCCACTACTCCCTAATAAATAAATCTATCTCTCCAAAAATTCTCAAAGGAGACCACCACAGTTTTTAAAAAAGAGGAAGGATTTTGCGAATAATTAGAACGTTTCCTTTTATTGATACATGATACATATATATCTGCTAGTCTCTATCAATAAGAATAAACAGAAAAATTAGAATGTAAACAAAACAAGAATAAAAACCAAACAAAACAAGCTAACATTAATTAATTATTGCGTAATGTATCATAGGCGTACAGCAGAACAAACTTGATCATTGATTACTGATATATCAGTGATCATGTTGTTCTGCTCAATACGCCCATTTAGTTTTCGCATATATTTTAATTTTTAATTAATGCGTTTTAATACGCCAATGTCTGCACTTACCCGCCAACAAAATTGATATAAACGCAAATCTAAATACAATTTTGACATTTGCAAGTGGAAAGTTTTTGCCTGCTAATAGTTTATCCACTGATGTTGACCTATTTTGACCACCCGATCCATTAATTTCTGCTGGTTTTGAGTGCTTTTCCGCGCTTATTGTAAGTCGATCAGCTTTTTGCCTCGCAGGTCAAATGAAAGTCCAAATCGAGTGGCAGTTGTTCATTTAATTGCATTTTTTGCTTAAATCCGCAGACTTGGCCAAAATGCATCCCCATCTCCGAAATATTCAAAAATTTAAAAATCATCTAAATAATGAATCACAACCGAATTTACAGTCTACGACTCGCAACAGCGTGGAATACTCGAAGTAGCGTGAAAAGTACTACACAGACTAGCGGTTTTGAGGCCAAAACTTCAACACTGCCCCACAGCCGACTGCCAGTGGTATTTTCTAGAATTCCCATAAGTCTGTGGCTGGTCACATTGGCAAAGATTTCTTTCGAGCAACAATATCCGCGGAATTTTATTAAACATCGAGTTGTCTTCGTGATTAGACATTAAATTGCGACTTAACAAATACAATTGGAAGCTTTGCGCTTTAGTGTAGTTTCAACCATATAAAAAGTGCAACAACAGTGGTAAATTCTGCGAACATTCTGCATTTTCTGCGACGCAGTTTCGAGTGGTAAGTGAAAATTGTCCAGCTAGAAATTAAAACAATATGCCCTGTATTAACGTCAGTTAAATATAAATATAGTTAATAGCCGCTTGAAAAGTTGCATCTTATTGCGTCATGCCTTTGTCTCGATTTACTTACACTTTAACTGTAATTCATATCAACGGTCGGCATCTTTATCTGTTCCGTATTCTATTATTCCCCTTCCTTATCGTCTGTTGCGCTTCTTTGTTTAGATTTTACTGCCCTTTTTAAACGATTATCTGCCTTCCGCAGAGTGTTGACCCATTTTCTAGTCTTTGTTAGCTTTACCTCACCTGTTATTCCCCTTGTAGATGAATCACCTTGAATTTGAAAACCCGTTTTCGCCCTTGAACTCTTTACAAACTAAAGGCAAAAAATAAATAATTAGGCAATTGTATTATTGAATTCGTGTCTCGTTTCTCGAAAAAGACGCAAAAACAATACAGTAGAAATATAAATCGGACCAAAATGGCAGACCTATTAAAAAGCAATGCGAAGCAATATGAAAGTGGAATGGCCGATAAGATAACGTTCCTTTCGACTTCGAAAACAACAAACTAAAAATTATCACAAAGCAAACTCCGATATAAGCCAAAAAATTGATTTAAGCACCAATAAACATAAACAATTTGGTACAGCTTCTAAAAAACGAAGAAAGTTTATAAAATCATAGTAGCAATAATACAAATTTTATTTATTTATTTAATATACTTTTGTATGTATAGTTAAAATGTTTGATATAAACTAATTTGTATGCACTTTTACAATTTGTTGTGTGAAAAATTTATCAAAATGTTACGTGCGTCTTAAATAAGTGCAGAACATAAATGCTTCACAATTTAACCATATTTATAAATCCAAAAACAAAGATTTAACTTTGTCCAATATATTTAATATGATTAAGTTTATTTTCTCATTAAAATCAAGACAATATAAAACCTTCCGATTCCCAATGATTTTATTAATTAATCGTAATTCTGAATGTTGACTTATACAATTATAAGTGCTGTTATATGTACAATATCCAATATGTACAAACAAGAAATCAGGTTTATGACTGGTGAAGCTTCACGTGACTGGTAATTCGCATAGTTGGCTTACTAATGGTGTGCTTTCTTACAGACTCTCCGACTCAAAATGCGCACAGCTGTTTTACTGCCGCTTTTGGCCCTGCTGGCGGTGGCACAGGCCGTTTCCTTCGCCGATGTGATTAAGGAGGAATGGCACACTTTCAAGGTGAGTTTTTCGTGTATTTTCAATGGCTTTCATTAAATTGTCACCCCAGGAAATCGGAGTGCAACAAGTGTTCTCCGGTGACAAAGGCTAGCAATGACTAATGCATTATGTTTGGGCCTTTGTCTTGCGCAGACCTTGTTTGCATAGTTGGACAGGGACTGCATGCTCATTCTTCCGTTTGTGAATCACGAGTGAATGTGAATGTACTGCTGCGCGGCTGCATCAAAAAGCGTCCAGATAAGTCCAGAAGTCTAGGCGATTCAGTCACATGCAGGCTCACATGACCAGCGACCAGGCTTAGCCGTAAACATCAGACGGAACGACGGACAATCAAGTCGTCGCCCACTTTTGTTCCGTTGCGGGTCAGTCCCGCTGATAAGCCGTGCAAGACTCGAACTGGTCCACTGATAAGCTGGACATTTGTACCATTTTTGCAAGCAAATGTTTCCTAATTGTCATGTGGTTTATGCCGACTTCGATTTTTGCCCCTTCTGCAGTGTTTATTTTATTGCATGAAGCCATTGTTTCATTGATTAGGCAAATCATCCTTTGTCGTAATTGTGTCTGCTTATCAATGTTATTTTCTGAAAATTAGTTGAATGTACCCCTAGTGTCATCCATTCCCTATCAGCAGGAGTATGAGGTCGTGCTTATTTCTTGGACTGTGTTGTATAGTTATTAGTTATTCCGTGTCAAGCGTCATTAAATGCAAATGGGGGCGTATAATTAGCTGTGTAGATCTCATGTGATAAAAGTCGCTGAATAAACATATACGTGAATTACACTTGTGTTATTGCTTAAAATACCACCCTCATTAAAGATAAGTTCTTCCCAATATATTTCCGTCCATACATTGCAAAATTAAAAATTTCCCCAAAAAATAGTGACACATCATTTTTAATCTTAGGGTTGTTGTTTAAACAATTCTAATGGAAGTACAACCATAACAAAAAAACATATTTTCAAAAATGGTTATAAAAATAATTTTGATATAAATTTTTTGGGAAACGTCAATTGGTTTCCGAAAAATATTTTTAGTATTTTATATAAGTTTTAAAGAATGTCTTACGTGTCAACTCTCAATAAATTGAATTAAGAATGATATTAGAGACAATGAAGTCGAACTTGTTGTTAAATTACTATTACAATCTTTTCGAGCTTTATTGTAACATAAACAAAATTAAATCGCTTTTTTTAATCACATAAAATGGTTTTTAAATTTGCAAATTTTAATGTTTTCAAGGCTTTAGAAAAAACTACTCATTCAACATGTAGTGTCAGTATTTATTTGATCAAAGACAACAGTTTACGAGTGAAAAACTTACAGCTATGGACAGGCCGTAAAACGAATTGTTTTTAAACAAATTTCCTTTAAATTGATTAAGAGTGTTCATATAAAATTTGGACTGAATCAAAACTTAAAATTTAGAAATCAATCTTTATCTTAAATGTATTGATTTTTTCTTAAGTTGGCATTATTAAAATCTTAATTCATTTTTCAGTATTTTAGAAACAGTTAATATAAAGCTCCCTCTGTCCACACAGTCTATCCGTTGGAAACGCTTGGAATTATTGAATAATGTGAAATAATTATAAGATAATTTATTTTACTTAAACGATGTAATTTGTTCGGTTCATAGACCATCAACGTTTAACAAAACATTTTCACAGATGTGTACATTTATTGAGCTTTTGGATGATTTAATCTAAAAATTATTAGTTTCAAAAATTTACATTGCATATAAAGGGTACATTTTCAGTCCTTACTCCTAAGTATTTTAATTTAGTTAATTTTAACTAAATTTAATTTAATTTAGAACCACTGGTCTTAAGTTCCAAGTCTGTTATTTGTTGATTGTCAGTGTGATACAATACAAAACTAGAAACCAAGAAAGCTTCGGCAAGCCGGAGAAAAACCAATTTTTCCGATTTGCTTCACATAAAAACCGTAAAATATTTTATTTTTTTTTTTTCGATGCTTTTTATTGGGGGCTATATGATAGTCGACAGATACCACACCCAACAAAAATTGTCATAGAAACTAAACTATTGTTACATGAACTTTAAATTATGAGGTATGAAAAATTTCTCAATAAAATGCGTATTAAATTAATAGCACGAAAGTATCAAAATAGAGCGTAGACTCATCGGTATAGAAATTAAAGTAAAAAGTATAGTTATTTAGTATTGAATCAATACATATATTTGATACTGGCGGTATTAAAACTTTCAGTTTTTATTTTGGATGTACCTGCAACAAAAATAAGTCTTTTTAAAAAGTTTAGTCAAATTAGCTTAAAAACTGAGGGACTAGAAGCGTACGGAAAGACGAACAGACGGACATTCAAGCGGCCAGATCAAATTGTCTGGTGGTGCTGATCAAGAATATATATTCTTTATAGGATCGGAAATGTGACCCTCCGTTGCGAACTACTGACTGAAATTATAATGCCCTCTGCAAGGTTATTAAAACGGACTCCTTTGGTCACACTACTGAAGCAGTGCTGCCCATGCCTTGCTCCCCATAGAAAAGGCGCGCAATTCAAATTACATTTCCGGCCGACATTGCTGGTAAAGTCTAATTTGGACAATCGCAAATCTATAAATTGTTATCTGTGTGCAGTTCAAAGTGCTCAAGTCGTCGGTTGCAAATGCACAGCTGAAAAAGTCACCAGCGTACAATTGTGGCACTGATAAGCACCACATTCAAGATTTATGCGTTTCAGTTTCTGCACATTCTGAAACCAAAGATGATTAAATATTTGATACAGAATAGGTCGAGCGAGCGTTTTGGAAATGACGCGCGACGGATCAGCGAGGCTTATCAAATTGGCACTTTGCTGGTGTTTCCGAGAGCGCAAATTCCGAGTGACAAGTGGACAAACAAATAGGCTGCCGTAAATAAACAAGCGGCGAAAAATTTGGCTGAGTTGCAAAAACTTTTGTATTGCTCTTTCTTTATCTTATTATTTTTTTTGCTGCGCCCGAACCGGTTGGCGCAAACATATTTGAATATCTTGCCTGCCTGAAATCCTTATAAATCAAGAGTTTCGGAAACCGGTTCGTTTTAAACGGTTCCATAATACGCGCGCTGCAAAAAGAAATCAGAAATAAGAAACAAGAAATTTATAGAGTACGCTTCCTCCAAATAGTTTGCCTACGTACGTAGGTTGGCTCTCGTTTTGTGATACGACGAAGTGAGTATGTAACTCGGCTCGTCTTTGCCCGAGTGTGTGTGTGAGCGGACAACCACCGAAAGCGGTCTGCTGTATTTTTGTTATTTCCCTAACGACGCTCCAAGCGAACGGAACAGTCGAGCAGCAGTGAAGAGACTGTATAGAAATTCGAGAGAAAAGAAATAAAAGGAGCCAGCCCCCCAGCAGTTCGAAAAAGCACGCGCGTCATCGTAAAAACGTGCTACGAAATCCAAGAAAACCAACCTAATATCGGCGGAATTATATAAAACTGTCAAGCCCTAACCATGACCGATGTCAGTGCAAATAGTCTCGATGTATCCGTGGATGTGGTTTGGCCCACCATTATAGTCCTGGCCATGCTGGTGATAAACGGCTTTGTTTTCGCCTACATCATGCGAAAGCGGCGAGAGTACAAGAATCAGGAGGAACAACCAGTTCCACACCCATCCTATGCGGCCACCAGTGAAGTGGCCATTGCACCCACGGATCAGGAGGACGATAGCTGTGCCATCGAGATGGAGCGACTGTAGGATTAACCGCTAGCTTAACTAGCAGTAGCTATAGCTCTCTGATACTCACCCATCGTCCAAGCTCACAACTGCAACGAAGTTTCCTAAGTTCTCCGGATGCCAGGCAAAAATTTGCTTACTCTAGAGATAGAAATACAAAAACGTATACGTCGAGTGCCTGGATCGCACGTGCATTTAATTACGGCCTTTAAGTTGTTAAATCTATTTCGCCATTCATTTTCTACAAAAGTATATAATAAAACGTGTGAATTTTATCATGCCATATCGAAAACTCAAACTGTTTACAAGGAAAATCAATAGGTCAGTGTGCTGGCTGGCGGCTTTCAAAAGGCTTCTCATTCTCACCCAAGTGAATCGGGTGGGTTTTTTTTTTTTTGGATGCATGTCTTGAATTCGAACCAATTATGCCAATTATACGACCCAGCCGTTGACAAGGGACTTCATCCGGTCCAGTAGGGGCGACAATTGTTGCTCTGCTGATGCTGGTCCGCTTTGATGTCCAAACTTATTACATATGCATGTTTCTCACATGACAGCGCCACGGTTATTCAGTTCATTGTGCCGAGTACCCTAGAACATTGTCTTTGTGACACTTGAGGTGAGCCACTCAAAAGCCACTAAGAAAATATTTTAGTTGGGGATTAGTAAAGTATATAAATAATGATACATATTTGATATTTGATTGTACATGCATTTTCTTTATATATTTTGTTGAAAAGCAAGCCACTTAACACCTCCAAAACACTGAAATAAACTCGTATAGCACTTAGCAGATAAATAAATCAGTAATAAAATCAGCAAGGCAGAAGCTGTGTTGATTTTTTGAACCCACCCCTCAAATGTTTGCATTATTTGCTGAATGTAATGGATAGAAACGCAGTCTTCATCTTGCTCCGACCATCCAAATTTTCTTTATAAATAGCTATCATTTGTTTAGTGTTCGAGCTATTTCCGTGCTGTGTCAATATGCGGGTCGGACAAAACAACCCCGATCCGGAGAGGAGGTCTCTAATTCGGGGGACCAACGCATTTCATTCCTTCCCCCTTACCTGCGGTGTAGTTCATTGTTTACTACCTGAAACATTTACACCGTTTCGAAGTTCATGTTGTTGGGCAGTCGTTAAAAATATTTTTTATGCCCATGTTAGATTTATAGACCTTACTACTGTGGTCGAACTAATAGAGCGATCTGCTCGCGCCAAGTTGACGTGCCAATGATAAGGTTATCTCAAGATTAAGACCTTTTGCCTTCGTGACCATAAATCTGGTTTACGTAAAAGATTTACTTCTCCGAGCGAGATTTTTGTTAATGTTTTCATATCTAAAATGTTATGTTATGCTATTATGCGATTTGATTATATCACTGTGTATGCTTCCGGAGTTTGAGTAGAAAATAACTATTATATTATTTAGATGCAAAATTAGTTTGCTGCAGCAGACCGATTAGACGGAAATAAATTAGTTTTCAGTCATAAAGTTTTATATAATCGATTTTAAATTATGAAGTTTGGATCACTTGTTTTCGTTTGTAGTAAAAAAAAAGTTTGTATTAAAACATTTGGTCCATTTCCCTTACAAATGAACGATTCAAATGATTTAAATCTATTTTTTTTACAAACAAAAGAGGAATAAATACGTACCGACTTGATTATTTTAACCGTTTGTCGTCTGTTCTTTTCGTTTGGTCTAATCTTGAAACAAGTACATGAACATTTTTTGATAAGCTTTACCTTCGATAAGAGTGCACTATCTAAAAGAGTATTTTTCTTTGATATGCAGTTGGAGCACCGCAAGAACTACCAGGATGAAACCGAGGAACGCTTCCGCCTTAAGATCTTCAATGAGAACAAGCACAAGATTGCTAAGCACAACCAGCGATTCGCCGAAGGGAAGGTGAGCTTCAAATTGGCGGTCAACAAATACGCCGATATGCTGCACCACGAATTCCGCCAGCTGATGAACGGCTTCAACTACACCCTGCAAAAGGAGCTGCGGTAAGAGAGTAGAAGGAAATAATTTCCCTCAAGTATAGCGTACTAATTCTTTTATAAATTCGTTCCAGCGCCATCGATGAGAGCTTCAAGGGCGTTACCTTCATTTCGCCGGCTCATGTGACCCTACCCAAATCTGTGGACTGGCGTATCAAGGGCGCCGTTACCGCCGTCAAGGATCAGGGACACTGCGGCAGCTGCTGGGCCTTCTCCAGCACGGGCGCCCTAGAGGGTCAGCATTACCGCAAATCGGGAGTGCTGGTCTCGCTGTCCGAGCAGAATCTGGTCGATTGCTCCGCCAAGTACGGCAACAACGGATGCAACGGCGGTCTCATGGATAACGCTTTTCGCTACATCAAGGACAATGGTGGTATTGACACCGAGAAATCGTATCCCTACGAGGCAATCGATGATTCCTGCCACTTCAACATGGGCACAATCGGAGCCACCGACCGTGGATTCGTCGATGTACCCCAGGGTGATGAGGAGAAGTTAGCCCAGGCTGTGGCGACCATTGGACCCGTTTCCGTGGCCATTGATGCCTCCCACGAATCATTCCAGTTTTACTCCGAGGGCGTCTATAACGAGCCCAAGTGCGATGCCCAGAACTTGGACCATGGAGTCCTGGCTGTTGGCTTCGGCACCGATGAGTCTGGCGAGGACTACTGGCTGGTGAAGAACTCGTGGGGTACATCTTGGGGCGACAAGGGCTTCATTAAGATGACGCGCAACAAGGATAACCAGTGCGGCATCGCCTCCTCCGCCAGCTATCCCCTGGTCTAACCCAGAACTGATTTATTTTAGCCACAGCCTTCATATGATATGATATGCAAACAAAGAAAAACATACCAACGCATGTATCTCAAAAGGAACTTTAATAATTTAGCCCAACCTATTGCTTTAACAATTTAATTTTGTGTTGGGTCCATTGTATTCATGTATCTCTGTCATTACACACGACATAGGTAAACAACAGATCTGTTGATGTTTGTAGAAAAAGAAATAAAAAACTTGTAATTTTAACTGGATTTTTATTGAAAATGTATACCATTTTTTAAAAATTTTATAAGCAAGCAAAAACTGCTTTGGTGCAAATTTTTTGAAAATCATTGCAGTTTTAGGTAATGTTTCTTATCTTTGTGACATTATTTTGACTTCAGTAGCCAAACCGACTGTCCCAAAAGGACGATTTTGTGGAGTGCCAAAATGACAAAAAACCATTGCTTTGACATGTCCTCTCTACCTTTATCCTTTACAGTTATCAAAAGTATTTTTTTGTGCTATGTTTTTTTAATTTTGTAGCTTTTTCTTTTTCAAAAATTTAAAAATTTGGTCTGCATTAAACAAAATAAATGTCCAGACAGATTGATTTTAAATCGCTTAACTTTGGTAGTTTTGAAATCACAATTTCCTGATAAATTTAATTAAATTTTAAATTGTACAAAAACCAGTAACAATTTAAATATATTTTATCGATAGCTGCTAGATATATTTATCGATACACACTAAGCTGGCTTACATATTTGTGCGAAACTCTGGTCACTCTGAAAATTGGGCAATAACTTTGCGAACATAACATAAAATGCAATAATTTATTGAAGCCAATTAATAAAAGTCATCCAAGATGCTGTTGACACTGCGAGTGCAAGGAGCTCGGCACTTGGTGAAGTCCACCCGATGCCTGGCCAGCAGCGCGGCGCCGGAGAAGTCGCCATCCGCCCAACCACACCTGGAGGTCAATGGGAGCACGTTCGCCACCGATGGATGGACGAACGTTACGCCCAAGATTCTCTCCTATCTGGGAGCGAACAAGCACCTGCAGACGGACCACCCGCTGTCCATCATCCGCCAGCGCATCGTTAACTACTTCTACGGAGCGTACCGCAACCAAAGGGGCAATCCGCTGTTCTCCGTCTACGACAACCTCAGTCCGGTGGTCACTGTGCAGCAGAACTTTGACAACCTGCTGATACCCGCTGACCATGTGAGTCGCCAGAAGTCCGACTGCTACTACATCAACCAGCAGCATCTGCTGCGGGCCCACACCACTGCCCATCAGGTAGAACTGATCTCGGGGGGATTGGACAACTTCCTGGTGGTGGGGGAGGTGTATCGGCGGGACGAAATCGACAGCACCCACTATCCGGTGTTCCACCAGGCGGACGCCGTGCGGCTGGTCACCAAAGACAAGCTATTCGAGCGCAATCCCGGCCTGGAGCTGTTCGAGGAGACGTGGTCCGGCTCGCTGGCCGATCCCAAGCTTATCCTGCCCTCCTCCAAGTTCATGGACCAGACCAAACAGCCCTGCCACACCCTGGAGGCCGTCAAGCTGATGGAACACGAAATGAAGCACGTGCTGGTGGGCCTGACGAAGGATTTGTTTGGTCCTCGCATAAAGTACCGATGGGTGGACACCTATTTCCCCTTCACCCAGCCCTCGTGGGAACTTGAGATCTACTTCAAGGACAACTGGCTGGAGGTCCTGGGCTGCGGCATCATGCGCCACGAGATTCTGCAGAGATCTGGCGTCCACCAATCGATTGGTTATGCCTTCGGAGTTGGCCTGGAGCGTCTGGCCATGGTTCTGTTCGACATACCCGACATCCGGCTCTTCTGGTCAAACGACAGTGGCTTCCTTTCGCAGTTCAGCGAAAAGGACCTGCTAAATCTGCCCACCTACAAGCCCATATCCCACTATCCGCAGTGCACGAACGACTTGTCCTTCTGGCTTCCCGACGATGTGGAGGTGGATGCCGGCTTCTCGCCCAACGACTTTTACGATCTGGTCCGCTCTGTGGCCGGTGATATGGTGGAGCAGGTGGGTCACGTTCCCAATCCCAATCCTTACTTAGCTAACCATGGGTCTTACCAACTTCTTGCAGATCAGCCTGGTCGACAAGTTCAAGCATCCGAAGACGGGGAAGTCGAGTGTCTGCTTCCGCATCGTTTACCGCCACATGGAGCGCACCCTCACCCAGGCGGAGGTAAACGAAGTCCACAAGCAGATCGCCAGTGCTAGTGTGGATAGTTTCAAAGTGCAAATACGTTAGTCATAGTCTAGTTCCGTTTCAATTTAAACCAAAAAAAACCAGTAAAAAATAGCCATCAAAGTAAGGTATTTTATATGGTCTTGAAGCATTTTACGTTCTGTTCCACCCATTCGTTCGCGCTCTTCAAAAGCTTAGGATTGTCGACGAACTCCTTCTGTGGCCGACACGCTGTTTTGGCTCCACTACGCACGAATCCTGCCTCTCCTTTGTTGAGGATGCCTACGGAAGCCATCTCGTGCATATTTACTGACTTGTTCTCGCGGAAAGTCTTGATGCTCAGATGATCGAGTAGCCTATCCAGGTTCTCGGGCTTCAGCGGGCACTCCAGGAAGTTGGCTATGCTGTGAACTGTGCCGGGCAGATCTACCAGCATGTCCTCGTAGCGCAGGAAGAGCACATTGGGCAGCTTGGCATGCTCGAGAGCCTCCTTCACATGACTATAGTAGGGCAGCCACGGATCTGCCAGGAAGGGTTATCACAATGCTAGCTGCCTACATCAAAAGTGCACTTACTTAATCCTCTTTGAAAGTAGCGCCAGTAACGCTCGAAATCTCCCACATAGCCCTGCGTCCGGAAGAGCCTGTTCAAATGGTAATAGGAAACTGCCACATCTTTGGGATCGCGAACCACATAGATCACCTGTAAAATATTTATTTTATAGTCTTACCTCTACCTCAAAGATCCAAGTTATGAGATCACTAGGTTTTAAAGTTAACAAACCTTGCACCTTTTTTCCAAGACACTAGGCGGCATTAGAGAAAAAGGAAAATGGGTTTTGATAAAGCGTCGCTGGGAGCTTGGCAATTCCCTCAGCGTCTCGTAGCCCGGTCGGGAAATCTTCTCAAGAAACTCTACGGCTTCAGCTGAGTCACGGTTTTCGTTCTGCAGCTCCTCCTTTACCTTGGGATGCACAAACAAGGGAAACCTGGAAATAGAAGTGCCCTCAGTGCCCATTTAATTAGTTACAGGGCAAGTACTTACTCAAAGAATGGGAAGCGTTCGGTGAGCGGTCGTCGCTGGGCCTGGTCAAAGTCCAGGCCATTGGCCACCAGCCAAATGAGCTCCTGCGTCCAAGTGGTGCCCGACCTTGGCACCGTGGCAATCCAGACATCATCTGGTCGAGCCTCAAAGTTGTAATACCTCTCGGCCTCCTCCTTGTACTTGTGCGGGAAGAAATATCCCTCAGATCCGACCTGAACAAAGCCAGTCCGCTCGCCTGGACGGAAAAGGGGTGGGAGGTAAGACCGCACTTCTGAATCCTACAATCCTACAATCTTACCATGGAAGTATTTTAACAGCTCCGCATTTGTGGACTCATCCACATCGCGAATCTCATGGGGAAACTTGAGAGCAGACTTTTCCATTGCTCGCGCAACCAGTTGCCAGCGTTGACTGCAGAAACGATCGTTGGGAAAACTTCTTGACCCCGCTTTCGGGCCTCGGAGAAAGTGGCAGCTGCTGGCCTGGCTAGTCAAGCACACTGCTGCTGCTTGGCTAAGCGCAATTTAAAATCGACTTTGTACTTGTTGCTTTGCTTCACTTTATGAGCTTGCTGCTGGACAAGCACGCTGACTCGCGGTATTTTAAATAGGTGTGTCCCAGGTGGTTTAATTACCCAAGACAGATTTTAGTGTGACATGAAAGGAGGTCTTCACTTGGGAACGGAATTTGGGTTACTTTAGAGTAACAGGCTAAGAATTTTTAAACTAAAATGTCTTATTTTTGTTGTATTTTTATTAATTTTGGTTCACCTTATTTTATATTAATTATTATTTTATATTAATTATTTGATAGTTCTTTTATATATTTTTATTATTTGTATGGGAGCTATATGATATAGTCGTCCGATTTTGATAAAATTTAAACCATAATTCTGAAATATTTAACCATTGCTATATGTCAAAGAACTAAACAAAAAATTAAAAAACAGCAAAGTTATAATTTTTTTCAATTATTTTTACGATTGTTCCTATGGGAGCTATATGCTATAGTCGTCCGATCCGGCTCGTTCCGTCTTATATACCTGCAATAGAAGGACAACTTTTGGGAAAGTTTCATGCAGATAGCTTAAAAACTGAGAGACTAGTTTGCATATAAACGGACGGACAGACGGACAGACGGACGGACAGACGGACATGGCTAGATCGACTCTACTAGTGATGCTGATCAAGAATATATATACTTTATAGGGTCGGAAACGTCTCCTTCACTGCGTTGCAAACTTCTGGCTGAAATTATAATACCCTCTGCAAGGGTATAAAAAAATATGAAGAAAAATTTTACTTCTTTAATTTTCAAATTTTTTAATACATTTTTTTTGTAAATAGTAATGGTTTAATAGTTTAGAATTACGCTTTTACTTATATTCAAATTGGAAAACGATATAAGACTTTTGGGAAAGTTTCATCGAAATAGCTTTAAAACTGACTATCTGAATTTATAGTACTTGGCAGGGAATAAATTTTATATTCGGTACTTTATTTTAAAATGGAATACCAAAATCCTTTGTTGTACCTTTACTTTTACAATACTACACAAACAATTTGAGAAATCACTGGTATGGAATTTAATCCGTTTCGGGGTTCAGTCGTTCAGGTCAACGTTATCGAAGAGGCTCAGCAGCTCCTGCTCCTTGCGTTTAATGCGCTCCTGGATGTTGGTCACAGACTCGGACTTGGGCACAGAAGACTGCACTCGGGTGAAGAAGTCGTCCATGGACTTGAACACGTTCTGGTACTGGTTGTCGTAGGAGGCGTACTGGATCGGTGGCGGCTTCTTGGGAGTGCGCTTGGTCACGGCGTTACGCAAGGAAAACTCTTTCAGCTCGTCCAGATGCAGCTCCTCCTGCTGCTCGTGGGCAGCGAAGCTGCGCTTCGACTGGCGCTCCGTCTTCGCCTTGAGTTCGCGCCGCTCCCGTTCGATCTGCTCCACCAGCTGCATCGAGGGGCACACCCTCCTGACTTCGCCGAGGACTAGTCCATGGTCGAGGATCTCCGCCTCGTTGGTCTGGATGCCCGCTTCGAGCAGCTCCTGGGGCCTGCTCTCCGGGGCCTCCGCCCTTTCCAGCAAGGCCTCGCTATCCGCCAAGGGAGCAGGTTCCTCGGGCACTGGAAGCCTATTCCTGCGCAGGTTCGAGGTGTAGCCTCCGCCCGCCGGTTTGGTTGGCCAGAGACGGGCCCGGGCCGCCTGTTTGGCCGCTTGGGTCATCACCCGCTGCCTGGGTGGCCTCTTGACCTCCGTTTCGGTGCCCTTTGACGGGGAACTGCCCGTTGTGGCCTTCTCCTTCTCCTGAGCCGCTTGCTCGAACTGCTGCTTTGCCGCCTGCCTGTAAGTGCTGGCCCTCAGCGACGAGGCTATGGTGGGCTGGACCAGCCGAGAAGGCGGACTAGCATTGGCCAGACGACGACCTGGCTGCTTCCAAGCCGCATCGGATCCTCCATCGCCGGCTCCGCCGTGAACAGCTCTGCGTGTTCCCGCCGTCTGCGTCGATAGAGGTGCCGCCAACTTGGAACGCACTGTGACCCCAGAGACGGTGTGCCCTCGACTGTGCTGCGTGGGCACCGCAGCGGCACTCCGACCACTGTTCCTGCCGGATGGATGCATTTTTCAAAGGGGTATCTTAAAAGGGTATCTTAAGGATTTCGCTAGGGGCCGCGATGTAGCAGAATCTGCTCAGTCTTTACTAGCTGGATCCACTATAATTTTTACAAGTTTAATAACTTTTATTTTACTAATTCAGCTGGTTGAAAGCGATAACGAAATATAAATGTATGTCTAAAGAAAGAGTCGATTACTTCTGACACTGGGGTTGTTTTATGGGCCTACTAGAACTTTAATCATCAAAACTTGTTAAAAAACAACATTTTAAACGAAATTAAAAGTTGGTTAAGCTGTTTAACTCCGTTTATAAAGTCTGTAAATTGTTATTTTAAAAATAAGTCAAACGCTAAATATTAATATTCCTTCCTTCTACGGTCGTGGCTAAAATATTATCGAAGACACCCATATTCCAGTTTTATGGTGGAGACCAGATTCAGTATATCGAAATAGTGCCATTCTGGAAAATTTTTGGTGATCCATAGCGCTGATTGAGTAAAGTTTGTTTTCCTCCTAGCGTAATGACACTGCTGCTACCGGTTTTCTCGAAAACTGCTAGGATAAAAAACAGGTTACTCAAAAATCTTGTACAACGACTAAGATATTACCTATTAAAAATCAGTACGATAGTACTTCGCTTAAGGATAAGAAGAATAAAAATAATAATACCAAAGCCCTTCTGGTAATATTTAAGAGCCCAAACGACTGGCCACCAAAAATTGGTGCTATCCGCAAAAAAAGGAACAAAATCCAGGGTCCAGGATACGCCCATCAAAACAGATAGTCTCAGAAACTCCAAGTAACTAGGTAGCGATATAAAATGAGTATCACGCTGCCAACTAAATACCAAAGTTAAATAGCACTTACGTCTGACTGTTGAAATCAAGACTGCTCGCCGTCTTTTCCTGCCGGAAATTCATTATTTGTCGTCTCACTTTTCGAATGTGAATGGCCGTCGAGGTGAACATGGCCGCATTGAAGGTGCTTAGAATCTGTAAAGGCCCAAAATAATAGATCCAAGAAGAAGAGTTCCAAACTGTGAACGATAGTAAATGGTTTTTTTATAGTATAGTATACAGAGAAAAATAGCAAAAAACTCAATTTTAAAAATAAATTTCTTTTATTTTTATGAATAACATTTCTTTCACCCTTTGCTTTAAAAAATATTTTAAAGCAATGTTGGGTAAAAAATAATTAAGATATTTTCTTCCAATCAGCAGCTAAGAATTGACTTTTGGAAGTCTTGTAACTTTTGTTAGACTTTTAATTTTTCAAAACCTTTTAATTTTTCAAAACCGTTTAAACTGTGTTCTTGTAAACCCAAAAAGCATACAAAAGGTTTATGCCGAAAACGAGGCCCACTGGCGAGATTTTTTAATCTTATACAAATTTTTGAAATTATTCTTAATATAAATTTTTTTGTTTTACTTATTAAAAAGTTTTCACCCTTTCAGAATGACACCTCAATAAAAAATTTCGAAAAGAATCAAGAGTTGGATTTTTGAAATAAAAACATTTGTCCTCTTGTTTGTTTGTCTGAACCAAATCGATGTTTTAGGGTTCAGAAACCGATTTTACTGTATAATTTTAGCCAATTTGCTTAGGACTAATTCTTAAAATGGATGTATAAGCAAGGGTATTTTTGTAATATACAAGTCATATGGGGACCACTCCTGGTCATGGTATTGCTGTACTTTAACAAAAACAAGAAAGGAAGCAAACTTCGGCAACCCAAAGTTCATATACCCTTGCAGCTGTAGCAAAAATTAAATATTCTTGAAAACTTTAAAATTATGATTTATTTGCGTATATGTGTTCCTATGGCAGCTATATAATATCGTTTTCCGTTTTTAATAAAATTAAAAGCCTTATTCTGAACTGTCAAATGAATAAAAAATGTCAAAAAGAATTTTAAAAAAAATTGTTTTTATGGTAGCTATATGATATAGTCGTCCGATTTTGATGATATTTAAACCGTAATTCTGAAATATTTAACCACTAAAAAAAAAATAGAGAAACAGGAAAGTTATAATATTTTTTCATTTATTTTTCCGATTGTTCCTATGGGAGCTATATGCTATAGTCGTCCGATCCGACTCGTTCTGACTTATGTACTACCTGCAATAGAGAGACTAGTTTGCGTAGAAATGGGCGGACAGACGGACATGGCTAGATCAACTCTCATCTCTCTAGTGATGCTGATCAAGAATATATATACATACCCATTTTTGTAGGGAAAACTAATTAAAAACACAATTATTTCACAGAAAAGTTATTAAAGTAGTTAACGAATTCAAAAATAATTTGAAAAAAATTTAATATTTATAACTAAAATGTTAAAAACTTTTTTTAAAACATTTTTTATAATCATACAATTATTATACTGGAGGAAAAAAAAATTAGTTATTTACCCTTAACAGTCATTAGAAGTAGTGAAGTACGTAGTATATTTGATCAGCATCACCAGTTACGTCAGTCTAGCAATGTCCTTCTGTCCGTCCATCTGTATGTTTCTACGAAAACGAACATTTTAGTTTTAAATCTATATAAATGATACCCTCCCAAAAGACTTTCTTCTTTGCAGGTTGTGTATAAATCGGAACGGGCCAGATCAGACGACTATATCTTATAGCTTCAATAGGAAAAATCGGAGATCTAAGTTCTGTATTTTAGAAAAAGTGTAATTTTACTCAAAGTGATCGATTTTCATTTAACACAGCAAAACTATTTGTTATCCCCCCTTAAATGCAGCTTACGCAACCTACCTTTCACCGAACATTGACTAAAACCGATCAAGGGCATCCAGTTCCATTTATGCAAGTCGTTATTCCACGATTGATTAATTAAATAAATTATTCCGGTCGGGATTAAAGCAGTTCCCCATACAAAGATGCTGTAGGTGAGGAATTGATGACGAGGTTCGTTCCGAATAATAGATTTGAATCCTTTCCACACATGGTAGCTGATGACTGTGTGCCAGAGACTGGAAGCCAGTTTGAAGAAGTATAAACTATAACCTGCGACAGACCAAATAATGTGGGCTTATTAGCTTTCTTAAACGTCCATCCATTGATTTGACTCTACTTTAAGTCATGTTTATTGAATGATCTACTAACCTGCTGATGAGCAAATGCCATTTAATAGGCTCAAGTCATCCAGTACCATGTTAAGGGTCTCCATGAACCTGCCGAACATGCAGCTAATGAGGCACTTGCCAATCACATTTCGAAGCTTCTCAACGTAAAGATACACTGCGATCGTAAGGATAAAACATATCAACGATATCACCGAGACTGGAAAACCAGAAACGAAGAAGAATAGCTAATGGGGAAGTTATTAACGACAGTCAGGAATGCACCTACTTTCGAGGGTCCCTGGGAGCAATATCGTCATGCACCTGTGGACGACAACCCATATATACTTTGGGAAGTCCGAATAAAACTTGGGGTACAGACAGTATTGGTAATTGTTTAGGTACTCCTCAGACGAGTGGATAAGTAAGGTGCCGTTCTAAATAGTTGGTATTACACTTGGAAAAGATGGTAGATAAGAAGGCAAACCTGCATAAAAGTGTACTCATTGTTCTTCAGGCTGAGCACCTCGTCGCAATTCCAGAACGGATCCCTTATAACGGCCATTTCGATCACAGGGACCGGATTTTCCACCGTTTGATCCATCGTCATTAGGTACATGTAGGGATTGACCCGTTTTATCTCCTCCTTCAGCCCATCGTGGCAGCTGCCATTGGCCGCCAAATTCTTGCGAGGACAACATACCCGCACGCATGGCCTCATCTTGCAGACACAGGCTCTTAAGTGATTCTTCACAGGCTCCGGAGATCCGTCCAGCTTTTTCCGGAAGCCATACTCTCCAGTTAGGTTAGCAGCAATTACGATTCCGTCATATACAATTGATTTGTTTTGCTCCTGGGCATGTGAGACATCGACAGTATCGAAGTAATCACAACCGGGAATGTCTGCCCTAATTTTCTTCATGATGAGAAGAGCAAAAACCAAATCGAATATATTTAAAGGCAGCTGCATTTTGAATCTATGAACCTGCGACACAGAAATCCCAACTCGACTGATCCTCGGTCGTTAACTACAAGGAAACTGACCCGCACATTCGCATATTTCTCAAAACCACAGTCCCGGCCTTTAGCGTTCAATTTATTTAAAACCATAAGCGAAATAAGGGTCGCCCTGCTGAAATTCTGCATACGCTCCTGAACTCCCAGATACCAATTCTCCAAGGGATTAGAAATATAATGTTTTTACCGTACTTTACGAATATGGCATACAAATTATTACAAATTCATGACGATAAAAAGGCAACAAGGGAATAAGATAATGCGCCCAAATGAATACGTAGAATGCGCGATAGCGTTCAAAATCAGGAAAGTTGGTTTGAGTGAAGGCTAAATTGAAAGTAGTCAATATTAATCGGTCTTTTAAGCAAAAAAATAAAACAAGAAAGAAAACAAACTTCGGCAAGCCGAAGTTCATATACCCTTGAAGCTATTGCAAGAATTAAACATTTTTGAAAACATTAAAATTATGATTTACTTTCGTATATGTCTAAAAACATTGAAGCTATGATGATTTACAGCTCAATTATTAGATAGTTATTTTATATATTTTTATTATCTCTATGGGAGCTATATTATATAGTCGTCCGATTTTTATGAAATTTTAACCTTAATTCTAAAATATTTAACCATTACTATATGTCGAAGAACTAAAAAAAAAAATTAAAAAACAGCAAAGTTATAATTTTTTTTGTATTTTTTTCCGATTGTTCCTATGGGAGCTATAAGACATAGTCGTCCGATTTTGATGAAATTTTAACGGTAATTCTAAAATATTTAACCATTTCTGTATTTCGAAGAACTAAAAAAATAGAAAACAGCAAAGTTATGATTTTTTTTATTTATTTCTCCGATTGTTCCTATGGGAGCTATATGCTATAGTCGTCCGATCCGGCTCGATCCGACTTATATACTACCTGCATTAGAAAGACAACTTTTGGGAAATTACAATGCAGATAGTTTTAAAACTGAGAGACTAGTTTGCGTAGATTTTGTATTGATTTGGAACAAGATTTTACTTAATTTATTTTTTGGATTAATGTTTTATTTGTAGCCGTTACTCATAGAGTTGTTGAAAGTATGCAATAGGCGGAAAGAATCCTTTTCGATCCTATTAAGTATATATTCTTGATCAGGATCAGAAATAGAGTCGATCTAGACAGGTCTGTCTGCCTGTTCGTCTATCTGTTCGTATGAGCGTCGAGATCTCGGAAAAAGTTTAAAAATACGAGATTTTAGATTTATCGTGCAGATTCTACTTACGCAAATGCAAGGTATAATTTTATTTCTCCCTCCTTCTAAAGCCCAGGAATCGCGAAACTCTGTCAAGTAATTTCATACGTGGCGGAGGCCATTTGTTGGGCGGTATATGTGTATTCGGTCATCGAGAACATATTGCTAAAGTTCCAACAACAAATAGTAATTCATAAAAATACACGCCTGAAAACCAAAAATAATATCACTTTATCTTGAAGATGGAGCATTCACGAATTTAACAAGTTATTAAAGATTAAGTTTTTTAAGCCTATTACTCAGATCGGCGAAATCCGTCCGCCAGCTATGAGAGAGCCAAATAACACTAAAAAATTTCAAAGACCCGTCGTCAAGTGTTTTTTTGGGTTTTTCCGTTCACCTCCAACCTCAAAAGATTACATTTTTTGATTTTAATAAAGTTTATAGATTTATAGTTTATATAATTTGGATTAAAAATATAAGAATGGTATAAAGAAACAATTGCGAATGTTTCAACGGTAAAGATTTTTAATAGAAATATGTATATATAGAAACGGACATGACTTTGTTAATTTTTTCAGTAATGCTGTGTCAAAACAAGCCAGTATAATTTAAGCAGCACGTGCCACCAATGGTTTCGTTGTGCTACTTAAATTTTAAATCTTAGATAAATAAATATAAATTAAATAATACAAGAACTTTCGGATAATTTTAAATGTTTATTAAAGTAAAATGTCTGTTTAATATGAATACTTATCCGGGAATTCTAATCATTTTTTCAGGAAGATGTACATACATATTATTCCTTTACATTGAAAGTACATTGTACTGGGGATTATACTTGATGCTTATAATACAAAATCATTTTAGTCCAATAAATATGAACAGATACAGTTACAAAATTGCGGAATTTTTATTTTGTGGGGGCAGTAGTTATAGTGTAATGCCAATCCCACGTTCTTTGAAATAAATGATGTTGTTTAAAACACCCAAAGTCAAACTAAATGACTGATTCGCGCACAAGATTTGCGCTTTATATTATGGAATCGGGTCCATACTATAAAACAAAAACCTAAGCCACTTGCAACCGAAAAGTGTTCACTTTAAGAGCTCCGTGTCTTTGTTCAAATCAATTACATTCGCATTTGATGCGACCCAGTTAGAAAAGGTGGGGCAAAAGTTTACGGCACCGCGGTATTCACGGTGCCGCATTCTTCTGAACCTGCTTTTCGAGAGAGCGCACATCAGGTGCGAATATATTTAATAGGTTGTTTTGCTACTTGGCGCATTGATGATCACAGATCGCACAATTGCCAATAGCAAAGTCAAAAAGAGGACAATACGATCACTTGTTAGGCCAAGCGACCGCACTGTCCTCATAGATTGGTCGTAGCCTCCGCAGAAGCTACAATTAAGAAATGACGCATGTCGACTTCTTCGCCCTTGGCGGGGGCGTAGGAGGAGCCCGTGGCGACCATCCGAAATTGTTCCAGCTACCGTGAGGCTCGCGAAAGGGCGGCGCACGTCGCTGCTCGTTAAAGGGCGGCTGTCGATGGTACTCTTCGGGCATGGGACGGATATTCTCAAAGCGTAGATTACCGCTGGGAATGTGACGGTAAGTCGAAGACCTGGTGGTTTTGGGCGGCGACAATGGCGGGGCGCTGGGCTCTTGGGGCAATTCCACACCACATGGCACTCCGTTGATAAAGCGTTGCTCGCGACCAAAGGTCGGTATGGAGAGGGGTTCTGAGGCCTTGGGTTCCGGGCGTCTAAAGGGCGGAATAGCCGGGAGTTCTGAGGGCTTAAATACCGGCTTGCTGATATGGGTTTCTAGAGAACGCGGTGCTGGTTTTGGAGCTGCTGCATTGACTGAAGTTATAGCAGGACGAGGAGCAACCTCAGTCTTAACTGTCGTTTTTTTGTTGTCCAACTTTAAATCCTTCAGTTGGTCCTGAATCAAACGAACTGAGTCGGAATTGTTATCCACATAGCGTGGAACTTTTGGCAACTCGTCGAAGAACTTGTCTAGCTCAGATTTTTGTGTTTGATATGCATTCCCCAGCTTGAGCAGCTCCTCCTTGTTGTAGAAAAGCTTGACCGCCTGAGCTGGCTTCTTGGCATTGGAAACTGAACGGAAACAGATTTGGGTTAAAAATTATAAACAATTTTAGGAGGACGAGCCAGAGAAACAAGCCATCGGAGAATAGGAACTATGACAATGTCTCTACAAGTTATAAAGAAATACGAATGGTATCTCGATTTGTGTTTCTCTGGCGAACTTCGATTTATTAATGGTCCTTACTTCGCTTTAGCGGCTGTGCCAGGCCAGGTGACGGCTGTTCCACAGCTTCTTTGACGGACTTCTGTCCGTTCTGTTTATTCTGGTTAACATCCTCGCGATAATACGGAACTCCAACCAGCGTGTTGCGGTCACGACACATCTCGATAATCCGCCGGAAATCGTTGTTCTGGCTGAGAGTTCGCGGGTTACCAATCAGAATAAGCAAAGACATCGGACGGGAAAGCAGGACATTCAATCGCTAAACAAGACACAATTATTTTAAATTAATTTGTTTTAATTCCCCACTTCCAGACACACACTCACCCGTTCATTGTTCAAGAAGCCTAGCTTGGGAGTAAAGGAGCGCACGAAGGACACAATGATCACCTGCTTCTCCTTGCCCTGGAAGAGCTCAACAGATCCGCAATCTATTTGCGACCAGTTGCGCATGTTCAGCTGCTCCTGGATACGTTGGTACTGGTTTTTGTACGGCGAAATGATCCCGATGTCAGACTCCAACACCTTCTCACCATTGATACCGAAGTACATAAGGTCTTTGACGTAGTCCATTACAGCGTCGATCTCCTTATTGTTGCACAGACTGTTCAATAAGAGAAAATAATTAATTTAAATTCGTTTTGTCAGCTACTGACCGAATCGGAAGATTTCTAAGATTGTTCAAAATTTATGTTTGCTTACCAATAGTTAACAACTCACCTCACAGAACTCTTGGTGTTCATTACAGTACCAAAAACGGAATGAAACATAATGGGAAAATCAGCATTCGAAGTGTGGAACCAGTTTTGAAAACGGCAAACATTCTCTGAAATGGAAAGACATAAAAGATAAACCCTGGGGATATGATTAAGAGGGAAAGTACCCGAAGACGTTTAAAAAAATCGACTTTTTTGCTTCAAGAAAATTATGGCATAATTTAAAAAGCCGATCCTTAAAATTATGGAAGGTATGGCACTTGACAGTTGTTGGCGCCTGTGTTTCTTTTTCCATGTTTTTTTATGGGAGTAAAATATTGCAAAAAAAAAGTTTTGAACCGATTTTCTTCAGTTTTTTTTTAAAGCAAAAAAAGTACTGTCGGTATTTTACGGACATGACAAAAATCACTTTTTGGCCATTTTTAACGCGAAAAAAGTGAAAAATTATGCAAAAAAAAATCAAATATTTTTTCCAAGCCTTGACATTTTTTAAAAATCATAGAATAGCGACCGAAAATCAAAAACCCTTTCAGTGGAATTACATTTGATTTTATGATTTCAGATGAAAATTGCTGTTAGGATCTCCTACTCACCCATGGGCGCCTGAGCCTTAAGTTTCCCGCCGTAGTAGAGCTCGCTGTACAGGGAAACTATCTCCGGGTGGGAGCGATAGTTGCGTACGAGTCGCGTCTGCACGGCCGTGTTGTAGCTACCGTCCTTGTCCACCTG